TACCATAATCTTTGTTGCAGGTATAGGTAATATTGAGCAATGCGTGAATTTTTGACCAGCACATGAATATTTCCATTTTATGTCCCATTCGTTAAAAATGTGACATAATTGTTCTGGAACTGAATACAAATTGTAAATGCAATGGGGACTGAGCAGGTGGTGTAAAGATGACTTACTCTAGAAGAGAGTATTCTTATTACCAATGCCCTGGCGGTGTCAGGCATAAAGGAATACTGGAAGAAAAAAACTACAAGGGATAGCCCTATGGGGTTGTACGCAATGATGACGTAGGACTACGTGGTCTTATATAATACATCTTATTTGCAGGAGCTTGTGTTTTGTGTAGGAATAGGAATTTGAGCGGGGTTCTCTCTGTTTATACTCTTTAGTATGACGCGCTTGACATAGATGACCCACAGCAACATACGAACAGCTACTGATTCCGATCAATAGCGGTGCGGCTTCTTCCTCCTTCTATGGATGCTCATGTGGGCTGCAGCTCACTGCTTGCAGGCAGCCTTTCGTTGTGTACTGGAGAACAATGTTCAACGTTACGCGCCGAAAGCACTGCTGCTGCTGCAGCTGATGCCGACGACCGGACACTACCACACACGGTGATTGGAACTGAATCCGATCAGCGGTTGAGGCCAGCCTTAATAGCTAGCTGCTTGCATCTTTAATAATTTTAATAATAATACCAATAATTGCACGTCCATGCAATTTTTATTAGTGACATTTTGTAAAATGATAAAGTCTTAATTTTAACAGATTTGTAGTTAAAATTCCTATCGATTGGCTTATTAAAAATTAAAATCCATCATCTTTGGATCAAAATCAGACCACTTTCATGCCGAGACCGACTTTAGTTTTTGAAATCGCACCCCCAATACTGCCTTGAAGTACATGGTATGTTAGATTTAAACATAGGGTTAACTACCCCATTTCCGGCCTATTAAGCACAACCCGCACTTAGTCTTTCTTAATCTAGCGTAGTTTAGCACCAAACGGAATGTTATTATTACTGATGGCTTCCAAATTTATTTACCTTTCCGTATGTACCGTAAGATTTGATAATGAGAAGCCAATCGTTGAGATATTGTCAAAAGTCTAACACTTCTTCTTGACGCCAAACTCGGCCTACGGATTCTAAACTCGGCCTAACCCAATCAAACTCGTTGGAGGCTTTTAACTCGGTTGATTGGAGATCTTTTTATCACGTTGATGACTCCAACCTGCAGTTAGAATTTTTTAACAATGTTTTGACGGATCTCCATAACACTTTCGTTCCTATCCGAACCACTATTAGTAATAAAAAGGATAATCCTTGGTTCAATTTTAGCATATGTAGGGCCATCGTTAATCGTGACTTATTATACAAACAATGGAAATTAAGTAACAACGTGGATGATCATCATGAGTTTAAAAGAGCACGAAACCACGTAAATAAGATGATACGCACAGCAAAACAAAATTATTTTGCTTCTCGTCTTGATCCTAAGGTTTCTCCTAAGGAATTGTGGAAAAATCTCAGGGCACTTGGATTCGGTCAAGCAAATGAACAATCATCGAACAGCTTTACGGCTGATGAAATAAACCGTAACTTTAGCAATTATTTTTCCGACAATAATATTCGAAGTTTTAGTTCTACGGGTTCAAACGGGTTTAACCACGATGTTTTCTATTTTGATAGAATAAACCAAGTAGATGTCATAAATGCCATGTACTCCATCAAATCAAATGCTCTTGGAGTCGACATGCTACCAATGAAATTCTTAAAGGCTATTTGTCCTCTATTAATTGAGCCTATAACACACTTATTTAACACTGTTGTAACTACAAGTGTATTTCCAGATGCTTGGAAGAAATCAAAAATTATACCAATTAAGAAAAAGGCTAATTTGAACACTTTAGAAAACTTGCGACCTATTAGCATCCTTTGCGCATTATCAAAAGTATTTGAAAAAATTGTTAAGATGAACATTTGCGATCACATCAATAGACACAATCTTCTGAATCAATTTCAGTCAGGTTATCGTTCGAAACATAATACTAAAACAGCTATGCTCAAAATAATTGATGATATAGGTCTAGTAGTAGACAAGGGTCGCCCGGTTGTTCTAATACTATTAGATTTTTCTAAAGCGTTTGATACTGTGTCGCATAGAATTTTATGTCAAAAACTCAGATCAAATTTTGGTTTTTCCGATCATTCCGCAAACTTGATTAATTCTTATTTAAGTATGCGAACACAGGCTGTATTTAATAATGGAGTTTTTTCTCAATCTATTTCCATAACATCTGGGGTTCCCCAGGGTTCTATTCTGGGGCCAATCTTATTCTCATTGTACATTAATGATCTCCCTGAAGTAATAAAGAATTGTAAATTTCATCTGTTTGCCGATGATGCTCAGGTATACTTTGACTGTGCAAGTAATTCTGTTGCTGAAATTTCTCAGAAAATTAATGAAGACTTGAAGAGGATCCTAGATTGGTCTGTAAAGAATATGCTTAGCTTGAACTCCAAGAAAACAAACGCAATTTTTATTACAAATAGTTCTTTTCAAAATATATTAAAACCTTCATTGCTTTTAGACAATGAAACAATTGAATACGTCGATAATGCTACCAGCTTGGGTATCCGTATTCAATCCAATTTTGGATGGGATAAATATGTGTTGTCACAATGTGGAAAAATTTATGCTTGTTTACGTTCACTTCACATAACATCATCATTTCTTAGAACTGATGTTAAAATTAAACTATTCAAAAGCCTCCTTCTTCCTTATTTTTTGGCATGTGATTTTCTCCTCGATGATGTATCTGCTGGTACGTTCAATAAACTTAAGGTGGCTCTTAATTCATGTGTTCGATATGTTTTTAAATTAAGTAGATATTCTAGAGTTTCTCACCTGCAACATCATCTAATAGGATGCCCTTTGGTAAACTTTGGCAAGCTACGCTGTTGTTTATTTTTGCATAGTCTGTCGAGAACAAAACAACCCGGTTATCTACACAGAAAATTGCAAACTTCACAAAGCAATCGGTCCATTAAATATATTTTGCCAAGACATCGCACGTCAAAGTACGGGAACTCATTTTTCGTGCGAGGTGTAGTTCACTGGAATTCTTTACCCAATAGTCTAACTAATGTAAATTCGTTAACAGCATTTAAGAGAGGATGTATTGAGCATTTTAGTTGAGTAGTAAATGTAGTTCAGTTTGTGTTACGTATCATTTTTTTTTGTTTTGTTATATACTTGTGGCGCTTGTTATACTTTGATATAATCGAAGTAAAAGAAGAAAGACATAAGTCTTAAGTTACAAAATATAAGTCAATAAATAAATAAATAAATAAATAAAACGCCATTGAAACGCCAATGAATTCACTTCGGCCTATCGGATGAAAATAAAAATTATTTCGATCGGAGTGCTTCTTTTGTTTTTGAGAATAATGGGTGCAAACCTTCATATCACGCGTTCTCATTGACTTCGTTCCGTAGGTTATTAACTAATGTATCGTACCAAACACATAATTGACTTGTGAACTCTGAAATCATGGATTTATTTGAAGTTTTCTGCTCGATAGGCCCAAAATAGGCGATTAGGCCGAAGTAGTTCTCTACCCTATCTAGATAGAGATGGAATAAGGCATAACCTCGGGCATAACAACTTTTGTAAACAATGACTTCTCTCGATGATTTTTAGGAATTCAAGGCACGCCCACGCAAACTAACGTTACCGTCGGGTAGAGGAAGTCCTAGCCTACCTGATGGTGATGTAGATTTGCGTGGGCAAGCCTTGACTTTCAAGACATCATCGTAAGAATTCATTGTTTACTAAAACTGTTACGCCCTCGTTCCAGCTCTATCTTGATATGGGAAATTACATCCGATTGATGATCCTTGACAAATGTCCAAAAAATACTCTTTTACAAATTTATGGTGGTCCTGAAAAGGACCGTTTTGTCGTGATGGTTGAGTAATGCTAAGCTATTAGGGTATGTTGTTTGGAATGAGGGTGACGCGCTTGTCATAGATGGCCCACAGCGACTCACGAAGAGCTACTGATTCCGATCAATAGCGGTGTGGCTTCTTCCTCCTTCTATGGATGCTCATGTGGGCTGCAGCTCACTGCTTGCAGGCAGCCTTTCGTTGTGTACTGGAGAACAATGTTCAACGTCACGCGCCGAAAGCACTGCTGCTGCTGCAGCTGATGGCGACGACCGGACACTACCACACACGGTGATTGGAACTGAATCCGATCAGCGGTTGAGGCCAGCCTTAATAGCTAGCTGCTTGCAGGCAGCCTTTCGTTGTGTACTGGAGAACACCACGACTTACCACGCGGCGATTGAATAAACACCAATTGGTGAGACCGGATGGAATTAAACTTTGAAATCTGTGTTAGAGAAATTAAACAGATGCGTAGAAATATATGTGATCGATTGGTGATAAAATAATTGAAATTGGTCCAGGTGCAGCTGAGTTATTAACGTTCGAAATCCTTCATAATTTTGTTTCATGTTCCATTTTCGGTTTTCACAAAGTGTACCCCCATATAGAAATCACAGACGTAGTTCTACGTCAAAAAAATCTGCGAAGCAGGATTCTTGACTGATCCGTTCATCCAAAGTAAGTAGTGGATTGAAATGAGTATCCGAAAACATATGCAATGTTCTACGTCGTCGTGCAATTTATCATTGTCAGCAAAGCTTTAACGGGGATTCAAATGACCGTTATTTCGTTCTGGGTTACAGTAAAAGCTGCAGTGTATTCTCTGATTATGATGCTGATGCAGTGTCGAGATAAATATTCATACATAATGGTACATAAACCGCATTGCTCAGAGGCGTTAAACTTTCTCTATACAACGTGAATTTGTTAACCAACGTTGTTTGTCGCTTAGGAAAATATATGTACACATATTACATCACTTTTGTTTAGACTACTAATAACCGATTCTGACCATGACTAAAACAACAATGACAAATTATCTTTCAGGGAATTGGATCACTTTTCAGCGCGTTGAAGGTAGTTCGACTGTTGCGTTTAGGACGAGTTGTTAGAAAATTGGATCGTTACTTGGAGTATGGAGCAGCAATGTTGATTCTATTGTTGTGCTTTTACATGTTAGTAGCTCATTGGCTCGCGTGCATCTGGTACTCAATTGGACGAAGCGATGCTGACAACGGGGTAGGTACCACTAATTAGCATGGTCAAATTTATTATTCGCTGGTGTAATAACAATTACTGATACTTCAATTGGATTGGTTGCTCTCTCTTCATCTCCATATAGGTACAATACAGCTGGCTGTGGAAGCTGGCGAATGTCACGCAAAGTCCGTACTCGTACATCTGGTCGAATGAGTCTAATGCACCAGAACTGGTCAATGGACCGTCAAGGAAAACGATGTACGTTACAGCGCTCTATTTTACGATGACATGTATGACATCGGTAAGCAAATTAAAATATTGATCCAATTTCATCTCTCCTCAACTTGCCATCCTGTTCGATCTACCTGCATTGAAAATTGATTGCTGTATGCAACACGTTTCAAATCTCCCATGGGAATTTTACCTTTACAAGCAAGCCAAATTAAATTTTATAACAGCTGTATTTGGATGCTTAGTTTCTACAACAATGTCCGTTACTACATTAATAGAACACCCTCGTCACAGAAAAAAGAAACGTGTACATTTCATATATCTTTTCAATTTTATTCTCGTTTTTTCCCGTTCCATTCTAGGTTGGATTCGGAAACGTGGCCGCCGAGACGGACAACGAGAAGGTATTCACTATCTGCATGATGATAATTGCAGGTGCAGTGTTCTACGTTCCGTTGCCTCGTCCTGTTTTTGACACTGTTTTAAACGTAGTTATTTTTAGCAAAATCAACTGTACTATGCGGCTCGCTCTCTATTCACACTGTGTCAGCTCAAGTGCAATAACACTATCGCTGGAAGCTCATTAAGTGTGTGTCTATTGGTTTTATCTAATCTGGAAGCTAGCTGCGATTAGCCAAAATTCTACCAAATTTCAATCACTTCAGTTGTTCTAAAAGAAAAAAAAATCTAAGTTCTTTTCACCAGTCTGCTTTCATTTCCTATGCTTTTTGTTTGTGGTAATTAATTTTCACGTCTTGTTTCTACCGTGTACATTCAAACACTTATGTTGTCTTTTGTTGTGTCTTTTATCTGTTTCCTTATATATGTTTGGATTTGCTTCAATATATTAGGGAGTAAGTTTCTTTTGAACTACATATAATAGAATGCTCGATCTTGTGAAAATATTATGACCTTTGTACTTGGAAATTCCTGATTGGTAATTAAAAAAGCCCTCTCATCCATATTATGAAACGAATATTGCCTCAAAATTCGTTGGTGTTCCTGTAAATATTAAATGATAGAAACGTTATAAGCGCTCACAAATATTATAACTTTGGAGTATTTGATCGTTGCTATTCTATTTTAAATTAGAGAATAAAGATGACATTAAATCGAAGCAGTGGACATGCCAAAATATCATAAAATCCTGTTTCGGAAGAAGAGAGAGAGAGGATACATTTCTTTCAACCAGAATGGAGTGCATAAATTCTGGGTATAATATTAGTCTATGCTTTTGTTTTAAGCCGATTGCTAAAAAACTGGCTAAACAGGAGTGGCTACTTCAAACTTTTTCGATAAATGCAGAATCGTGCAAAAATTAGAGCTGAACTTCTGAGTGTAGGTAGATTATTATACAGTAATTTTTTGTCTCGTGTTGAATTGTTTTCAAGTCTATTTGTTGTGCAACTGCTGAGTGAGCGTAGAGCGTAGAAAGAATCAAAAATTTAACCCTTTCCAAATGTGTCTTCACTGCGACTGCTCAACTGCTCAACTACAGCAGTAGCCGAGTTGCTATTCTCCGCAGTGTAAGCAAAGTGTGGAGATGAACAGAATATTGCTTTAATTGATACATTCATCATTTTAATTTTACTGTAAGGGGACATTCACAAATTATGAAATAGTTTTTGAACGATCAATAGATCCCCTTCCCCTTTTAAAACACTAAGATGTTAAGTTGACGCCCCCTCTCCCTAAAATGTTAAGAAGGTTCCTAAATGTTCAGAGTTTAGAACATTTCCATATTAGGGCCTGCTCAAATATTATGTAACGTGAACCGTCACGCTCTTTAAAAATACCTAATACCTGTCAATAATTAAATTCTTTTTTTTTTAAACTATAATTATTAAAGACACTTAACGCTCTTGGGTCATTTGTGACTTATCTGAGGGCCCCCCAGATATTTAAACTCGTGACTTTGACGTGAGAGGTATGGATGCTAACCAATACGCCATTAATCACGTAAGCACTTAGGGGGAGGCATTTTTGGATTTTTACATAGAAGGGAGGGGGACTCAGAAATATCCTAGTCAAGCATTAACAAGTTATATACACTATATATACTTTTGAAATATTCGAGCTTACAAAGAGGAAAGGGGGGTTTTGTTAAATATTACTTAGTCTTACAATGGAGGGAGAGGGATGGAATATCCTAAAAAAAATGATTACGAAATTATTTCATGACCCTTTAACGCATTTCCAGACTTCCCTCTTGCACCCTTTTGCGTTTCGTAATATTTGGTATGGTAATTCAGTACAAATTTAAGCTGTTGGCATAATGCGGGTAGGATATAATTATTCGATATAGGGGAAATGGCTCTAATGTTGGCCTATGGATCTAAGATTGGGCCCATCGCTAAAAATCTGCTATTTATCAATTGTATCTAGATGAGCGCGTCATTGGGACGGTACTAATGGATATTTTTGGTTGCTCTCAAACACTCCTGTTTCGTATCTATTTTCTCTTTAGTGGTGCGCGTTGAAAATCTCCACAGAGACGATCAGTGATTCACCCCAGTGAGTGTGAATCTCTCACCCGGGTGCAATATTTAGCATCCCTCAGCAGTAGATATTTTTAATTCTGTTATTACATCAAATAGAGCTTTACTTAAGCCGTAAATTTGCATCACATGAATTAACCAATAAAAAATTATATAAAGGCAGTTTGAGTTCAAAACGTCGCGTCGCTCTTGATTACTCTTTTCGATTAAACATATAGTAAACTCTATGATAAGACAAATTTGCGCGTACCAATACAAATTAAACATAATTTTCATTGTTTTCCAATTGCTTGCTTAGTCAAAGTGGTACATTAGCCACTATTTGTAATTTGTGAGTTTTTTTTTGCATGGCATCAACATGCAAGGATTTACTAGGATAATAATAAAATTAGAAATTTGTTTACTTCAACACACATTATACACTATTTAATTTTAAGTATTTATCACAATGGCACTTTCGTGGCGGGCAATGCCTACAATCCATATTAAATAGGGTTACGAACGGCTTAACAGCATTTGAAATACATTAAAAACTTTAGAATACAATATTTTTTTATGAGATTCTTCCTTCCGATAAACATGAGCAGTTCTTTCGAATTTAACTATTGTCGATATTTTTGACACTGCGAATAATGTTGGAAAATATCAAAATAAGGAGTCAAGGTATGATGAGAACCTAAAATATATTCAGAGTTGGTTGGAAATGCTAGCTAGCATGAAGCTTTAGTGTGATAATTTATAAACTAGAAAATGATCTTAGAAGAGTGTAGGTAGATAGTTCCGTTAGAGTACGGCAGTATGAAAATTGAATAGAAGTTGAAAATGTTTAATGCGACAGAGTCAAACGCACATGTTAGATAGCATTTCCAACCAACTCTGAAAATCGCAAACTTTGCGTATGAAGTAACATAAAAACACTTTGACTAGAATTTGCTTTTAGGATAATTTTCCTTTTTTAAAAAAACTTTTTTAAAGTTTTGTGGTGTCTACTGTTCTCGTACTGTACTAATGAAGCTTGGCATGTGATTTGGAATTTTTTATCCCGTTTGGAAAATTTGATGATAAATTACAATATCATAATTTTTCATATGATTGAAGATTTTTCATTCTTTTACCGACGATAAGTTCTTTCGATAAGTTCTTAGGGGCCTCATAGTCTAGTCAGTAAAGGCACGGTATTATCAAGCCGGAGACGGTGGGTTCGATTCCCGGTCCAGTCGAGGGAATCTTTCGGGTTGGAAATTTTCTCGACTTTCCTGGGCATAGACTATCATTGTGCTTGCCACACAATATACAAATTCATGCATTGGTATTGGCATCGAAAGCTCTCAATTAATAACTGTGGAAGTGCATTTAGAAAACTAAGTTGAGAGCACGCAATAAGCTAATATGCGCTAAGCAATAAGCTTGAAATGCGAACATAAAGAAGAAGAAGTTCTTTCGAAATTCATCAGTATTCGCTCAAATGAACCTGAATATCTACAACGTGGCGGTGATATATGTGTCTTCAGGAGGTGTGCTTCCCGATGATAATCTAGGTCGTGCTAATATACATGTGAGCTTCCTGAAAACGCTATATCTCAAGACCCTGGTCATCTAGGAAGTCACTGTCTTCGATAAAATTGTTTAGATGACCACAGCCCTTCTGACGGTAGTTAATAATTATATAACTACATGGCGCTAAATCACTGAATTATATATAATAAGTATTAATATTGGGTGCATTAAATTGTAGCCCTAATTTGGATCTTAATTCGCATACCAAGCAGAGATGTAATGCTTAAATGGCTGGTAATATTCTAAAAAGGCAAAATTGCGAGCTTTATAGTACTATAGCAAGAGTTTTTTTTGGCAGTTATCATTGTTGAAGAATTAAAAAAAAAAACCCTGCTTTGAAAAAATCTTTGAAAGCTCAATAATATTTTGAATTTGATTCCAGTCAGTAAGTCAAGTAAGATTCCTATATCTCATATATAAATGACGATTAAGTGGTGCTTCAAGTCGTTATTATGAGTTTTAAGCAGTTTCAGATTGCATCACACTAAATGCTACAACAACTAACGTAACAACTATCAAACCAAAGCATATTTAGTCCTTAACAAACTTCATGAAAAAATATCGTAAGGACCATAAGTATTTTTTTTAGATTGCCTTGAACTATTTGTCAATTGGATTTCTAAAACTTTGTACATACAAGAACTATTGTTAGATTAAAGGTATTAAGGTAAATAACTTCTGCGGCAGGCAGATAATGTTTTCGGCAACTAATATAAATACGTCAATTTTACAGGATTCCCTCACAAAAATTATAAAATGGATGTATTCAAGTCCAGACCAGAAGGACGATTTTCATGAAAAAATAAAATAAAAAGTGCCTAAAGATGAAACTTAATCGAGTTGGTGTCTTCAAAGAAATATTTAGCTACGTCTTTGAAGAAACGAACTTTATTAAGCTTTATTTATGTACATTTTTTCTGCTATTTTTTTTTCTGAGCGCTCTGCAATAGTCACAATCGCCTTAGAAGTTTTAAGCGTTATAAACACGTTTTAACAGTTATTGACGACTCCATCGATTACAATGGATAGAGCATCAAGTATTAAGCAAAATTTCCATTCAACGGATACAGTAGAATTCCACCGCAGCTGTCAAAAATTCTACCGTGGGTGTATAAAGGAGTTCAATACTTCACAACACATAGTGAGTATTTACAAACTTTTGCTGGCTACTCTTTGTAGCCTTGTTTAGTTGACAGCTTTTTGTAGACCGTTTTTTATGCATTGATTATCTTAAACACTATTATTTTATCCTTTATTTAACGTCGGTCTTTGTTCCGCAATCTAGTGCCAATCACCGACGGACATCGATTGCCATCCATTGACGGCAATCGAATGTGCAGGAAAGCAGCTTCCACATCTGCGTAGGATATCGCACTCATTTAAACACACATGGGCCGGGACCAACCGCTTTACTTCCCTTCCGAAGGAAGACGTGACCAGAGATTTTATGCTTTAGAAAAATCCCACCGAGCTTGGTCTGAACCTGAACCCAGACCCATTGGGGTGAGAAAGCAATCACGCTTACCACTACACCACCAGCGCCGGCTGGAAATTCCCTGAAAATTGTAAAGCTACATTGTTAGTTCATATAATTTTCGTGAAGTTCGCAATACTTTCCTTAAAGATCGAAATTCTCCATTGAAGTTCTAAAAAATTGCGCTGGATTTTCCAGAACAACTTTAAAGTTTGCAGAACTTTCCTGAAAGCTTCCTTAGAACATATATAAGAACTGCTTTGAAGCTTTAGGTAGGGTCCAGGTGTGGGAGCTGCCTCTTTGGCGTCGGCAACATTGGTGCTCAGCACGGAAAACAAGATCGACAGAAAAAATAAATGAAAAACAAAACTCTGTAGTAACTCGAGTTGAAGGCTTCCTAAACTCACTTGGCAAGAGTATTTGCGAACCTCATGTGAGTTTTATTGAACCCGCACTCTATTTCAACACAACTCAAATTAGAGACGAATCCACAAAGATCGTTCAAAACTGAACCTACTGTGTAAACGAAGTTGGGATTGACAAGTTGACAATTGAACATCATCGATCGGATTCAAGTCAATGTTGTCCGTTTGATATGTCGGTTTGCAGTGGTAGAGTGCCAGTATTATTACTATTATTATTAACGTCTCATCCATTCGACAGGTTTTCTGCTGGATTGGGATGACGTTTTCCAAACAATTAATTGATATTCGATTGAGCCACCTTCTAAGGGCCATCCACAATGGGTACGTTTGCGTTCCGTTGATTAATAATAGTAAAAAAAACCTCTCCAAATCAAATCCTTAGGATTTTTGTTGTTGGAATCTGCCACCTCACGGTGCGGGTGACAGATTATAAAAGTGAAAAAAAAAATCATTGAAAAACATTCACATAAACAAAATAGAATAGAAAATTTAATAAATAACGAGCTTACAGTAAAGGTGGATGCACTTTTTTTTACATACTTAAAGATTACTCTAATTATTAAACGTGAACATTGAATGTGGAAGATAATTTCCAAAAGCCATGGAAAATAAAGCTTTTCCCTAAATTTTAGCCCTGTTATGTCCTTAATTTTAGTTTGATTTCTATTTTTAGAATTCGTTCGGTTTAACGTTTCTTAATTTCATACCCCATAGAATTTTTGCCAAGCAGTAGAATTGTGACAAGTCCCTTCTCCGGAGCTTTAAATAAGCTTCCATTAGATAAAACAAACGCCGAACTCGTAGACAAGTTTTGCTAGAAATAACCTCCTCCACCAACCGTTCGAGCAAATGTCACGTAATGTCATTAACAAAATCTCAACTCACTCTGGTTTGTATGTGACTAATTGTCTACAGAACGAACATCGAGCCAGTGAACAATTCCACTCAGCGTGTGTTCTCGTGATCAATGTCCATCTACATTTTTCCTGTCTATCTTGTTAAGCTAGAATATTTTCTATCTTGTTCGTCCTCGAATCACACAGACACAAAACTATCGTTTTCATTAGTTTGAATTCTTAATTTTATTCCACCTCTCGGGGTCAATTCAAAACCACCAGAGTTTAACTAGCTTCGTTTCATTTCATTATGGTTGTCAACAACAGCTCTCCTGTACGCCACAATTTTCGGCCATGTAACCACAATTATCCAGCAAATGACATCCGCCACCGCAAAGTACCACGACATGTTGAACAATGTGCGGGAATTTATGAAGCTGCACGAAGTCCCGAAGGCGTTGAGTGAGCGGGTTATGGACTATGTGGTATCCACGTGGGCGATGACCAAAGGGTTGGACACGGATAAGGTAATTATGCTGTGTTCTGATCGGATTCGATTATGATTCGTTAGAATATTTAGCACTCGTTGTTGAATTTTTTATCATTTGAATTTATCTAACACGTTTCTCCCGTTTCGATCAACGAAGGTTTTGAACTATTGTCCCAAGGACATGAAAGCGGATATCTGCGTGCATTTGAACCGGAAGGTATTCAACGAACATCCGGCCTTCAGATTAGCTTCGGACGGTTGTTTGCGAGCGCTTGCGATGCACTTTTGCATGTCACATTCGGCCCCAGGTTGTTGCATCGTCATTTCAGAGAATCTAAAAACGCAATCGATTACTAATGGCTCATTTTATTGGCCTTTGTTTTGTTTTTTTTTGTCGATTAGGCGACTTGTTATACCATACGGGAGAGAGCATCGACAGTTTGTGTTTCATTGTCACCGGAAGCTTAGAGGTGATCCAGGACGATGAAGTGGTTGCCATTCTCGGAAAGGGCGATGTTTTCGGTGACTCCTTCTGGAAGGACTCTGCTGTCGGACAAAGTGCGGCCAACGTGCGAGCGTTAACTTACTGTGATTTACATGCGATAAAAAGAGACAAACTACTCGAAGTATTAGATTTTTACCAAGCTTTTGCTAATAGTTTTGCAAGGAATTTAGTTTTAACGTATAATTTAAGGCATCGATTGATATTTAGGTAAGTAAACGTTGAAAATTCAACAGTGGGCTCAATGCCTTCATTGTGATGTATATAATATTGCCCTTAATCGCACACCAGTACCATATTTACTAAAATTACTATTCAAATGGACTACCACTCACCGCAAATCGTTTCCGTTTTGCGTTTAGATCAACATTTAATTTTTTGCGGATAACCTAAACGACTTTATTAAAAAAAATATTTGAAGATCTGCAAAAATCGTTGTTCCATTGCATAAGAAACAATGGATCCAAGGCAACTCAAATTGCTTTTATCTCGGCATGTTTATTGTGCTATGGAACAGACTTGCCACGAGCACCAAGCGTAACAGTAGGGTAGTAGGGTTTTTGATCTTTAGATTTGGTTAAAAGTCACAACATATTGAGATATTGTTAAAAATCTAACACTGCCGCTTGATTCCAATTTCCACCCGGTTTGCATTTTGGACTGAAAATGCTCTATAATCTTTTTAATAAGGAATGTTCATAAAATATTGAAGTGGATCATTTTTTGTTATTTAAGTCTTAAACAGTTATTGGGATTTTCAACTAACATTTATTGAAATTGTTGGCCGTGTATATTTTTCCTGAAAATGAATTGTTTTTTTTCCTGCAACTTTGTTTAAGACGCCATTTCGATTAGAAGTGATGTTTTCGAGTTATGATCTGTTGAAAAATATCAATTACGCCGTTTTGAAGTTTTTTTTATGAGATTCAAAATGGCCTAAAAAAGAATTATTAACCATAACAAACAATTATGCAAAATTTCAAGCAAATCGTAAAAGATCAAGACTGAAATTAATTGATTTTGGCTATTTGGCCTGGAAATGCTTGTCTCTGTATCAAGGAAAATATAATTCTCGGATTTAATCCATAAAATCAAACAATTATTGTGATCATCATAGTTGAAAATCAATGTGTATGCTCAAAGAACAAGTCATCCTTGTTTTTCTCAGACTCTCTCAATCTGAATGTATACGTTGAATTGAATTATACATTTTTTTATTTCAGGAAAGTAGCAGATGTGCGAAGGGAAAAGGAGCTGGCTGAGCGACGAAAGAATGAACCACAGCTGGGCTCTAGCCAAGACCATCTGGTAAGAAAAATATTTTCTAAATTTAGAAGAGCTCAGCAAAATGCACAAGGACCAAAGGAACAAACTGGCTCCACTCAGTTGAGCGACGTTGAGAAAGGAGACACAGATACTGAAAAAGTGAAGGTGAATATAATTCATGAAAAATCCAAGTTAATTCTAACCGATGTTCGTTGAAGTTGATTAACAATTATACTAGCAATTTACCAGTAGTGAAGCCAAGTATCAGTTGCCCTTTAGAAGTATTAACTCCTCCAACGTTGATGTCGTTAATGTTGCATACCAAGTTTCATATCCATTGGAGTACTATTCGATGTTTATAGCAAATGATCAACTAGTGAAAGTCAATTGACATGATATGTGTACTGTAAACCTAGCTGTAGAATCAACAATACCTATAGAATATCATCATTAGCACATTGCCTTGATTGCCCAGTAGATAATGAAGAGAGTCGACGCCTATGAAATAACTTCACTAATTCACAGTTAGTAGTCACTGTTAATCCATAGATCAATGCGTGAAGTCCTGAGCTTTTCGGTTTGTTTTGTGCACGTGCTTTGTTGCCTGAAATTGAATATAAAGTTTTTACAATCAAAATATAAATCCCATCCGTAGTTTAATCCGATTAACGTTGTTGAACCGCAAAAGACCTGAGCAGGAACATTGGTCAATCAAAATTGTTTTCGTTCGATTTCAGCTACCCGCCAAGCTTACACTAACCGAAGACTCTCGCGTCCTTACAACCGTCCCATCACCGTCACCATCACCGTCGCCTTCATCGGGACCTCCATCGGCGAAAGGGGCCCGAGCTAGCAAATGGGGCCGCCTGTTGGGTAGCTCTAGTGTCGATTCAGCCAGCGATACAAGCACAAAGGTAGCCGTGTCTAGAAGCTTAAGTGCACGTGAAAGTTTGCGTGAAAGTGCACAAGGTAGAGCGAGTAGTAGCTCAAGTAGTAATGGCGGTCAAGGCAATAAGGTAGTTTCCATTGATTTGTAGCACCTTGCACGATGAATGCACTCTCAATGAGATTTTTTTTAATGATTTCTTGTTTTCTTAGATATTTCCTAAGACCCCAAAGCTAACACCAAGTCCTGCGACATTGGCACGGCAGGATACAATTGATGAAGGAGGAGAGGCAGACCAAACGCCCAATCGGGAACGGCCGAATGTTGTGCATATAGAGCGAGAAGCTGCAAAGCCACCTACTCTGGAGCGACAACCCACTGAGAGAGATCGACTGTTGGACAGTACAAGTACGAACCGGGATCGAATGAATGAACGGGATCGAGAGCGAGAACGAGATCGGGAACGTGAGCGAGAGAGGGAACGAGAACGAGAACGAGACAGACACATGGAGCGAAATTTGTCGTTCGAACGGGAAAGGCAGATAGAGATGGCACAATCCAGAGCGACAACATCCGATACGTATGATACGGGGCTTCGGGAACAGCCCTCGACGTTAGCGCAGCGTGATCTGATAGCAACAGTATTAGACATGAAGGTAGATGTCCGCTTGGAAATGCAGCGGATGGCACAAAGGATGAGTAAAATCGAGGATTTACTGAGCGACCTTATCAATCGAATACAGATCGATTCCTCTGGCCAGAGTTCCCCAGGCGATATGACTAGTACCAATTTGGTGCCAACAACTGCACCAGGCACAAACACCTCCAGTTCGATCATTCCTTCGGCTAGTAGTCTGAATACGGCTACCACCCTGGTGGGGTCAACAGCTGCCCCAGGACCCGGTGGTAATGGGCTTGGACCGATTCTACTACGAAAACGACGATCCAAAAGTCGGAAAGCTCCTGCTCCACCCAGACAAAGTCCCGAGCAAACCAGACTGTTGGAAGCTGATCTACCCTCGTCATCCACACGAAAGCGCGAATTCCTCTAGCCCCGGATTCTGATGCGTCATCAATCGGATAACTCGAACGATCAGTAGTGATATCAGTTCCCGTCTGTTTTTACACCTCTTCACGTGATCCGTTTGATGACGGTCTTTCCTGCACAGTGTTAGGTACCTTCTCTACGCTGGAATGATTTTGCTTTAAATTTTACGTGGATTTTCGGTGCCTTTTTCCAAGAATCTGGAATATCGCTAAAATGTTTTCGATATTGAGAGATCAATGCTTTCTCAGCTGTTAATTTGTGATTTTTAAAGCAATTGTCTGCATTTAGGTGCAACTTTGTATTTTGAGACAACTTTCTTTGTAATTTCTGCTGTTAATACACTTTGTACAAGGATTTCGGCATCTGATTCGGGTTCAGGGATCCCAAATTTAATAAGAACAGTTACAATAAGTAACAAGTAATCATGCACAACAACAGAGATCCCATAGCAACTGATTTTAATATGAATAGTTTTTCAATGTCGTTTAGTGTAGAAACTTATTTATATTACCTGGATTACGATACTCGATATGTTATGTGGTGTCGCATGGTGAATTTTGGCTTAAGTCAGAATCTGCACACTTCTCTGAGAGCATCCAGAACATGTCCTGGGCACTCAAAATAGCAAACATTTTACTTTATTTGAATTTGTATTTTAATTAAGATGTTGCTTGATGGATTTTGACCGAAATCAGAAACTGGTCACTATCCATCATATGAACATGTCGGGGTGTGACTAATGTGACCCAGGGAATTCGACATGCCCTTCCACTGACATCATTTTAGAATTTTCATATGATTTAAGTTGTTGCATGATGAGTTTCATTTCAAGTCAGAATCTGGTCACTTCCTTGGGGCTTCAAACTATGTCCGCATACTACTAATCTGGTCCTGGGAACTCAAAATGACTACTACTGAGTTTTGTCCGAATGTGACCAATGTGGTCCTGAGTACTCGGTATAATTAATGTGTATTTAGGTGTCGCATAATTGTCCTTTAGCTCAAGTCAGAAACTAGGTACTTCCCCAGCTTGTTTTTGAATTCTCATGTGATTAGAGGTGTCGCATGACGGATTTTGGTCTAAGTCACGTCAAAATATTATCATCTAAGTCCTGGGCACTTAATATGGCCACAATTGAAATTATGTGTTGCTGTGTTTAACACGTTCTATGTTGCTTTTAGTCTCAAGACACGAACTCACCGGATCATGACTACATCTCCAGAACCTGTTGACTGATTTTAAAAATATTCAATACTCCAGTAGCATACTTCCGTCATGAAAAGTTGCAGCTACTTTATGTGACCGACATAAGTTGTAAAGCAGTTGCTACAACCGTTTTGCGACAAATGTGCTACTAGGATAGCGTTCTATGAGACCATGATACCTTCAATTTTGCGTTTGTTGTGTCCGATTTGGTGAAGTTGTTGCTAAGAAGCACACGTTCAGTGTTCCTACGAGATATTTGAAATACAATTCGTGCCAAATCCACGCCACCCTTGTATCAAAATTGCACCAAATCCGCGTGAACGTTAAATTTAAAATGCACCAAATCCTCCTTTTGATATTCCCTAAATGTCATTAATGTATCCTGCATTTCGCTCTTTTTCTCTGAATAGCACTAAAATCCACTAATCTTCTTGAAATTCATGATTCCTCTGGAGAACACTAAACAACACTCAATTTTTCTGAAATTCCCAGAGAACTTCTCAGAGGACCAGCAAGCTAATGAAAATATGTGAAACGGTGAAGCGAATTTCGAAGATTTTAAAAGTTCTGCAAACCTCAAACTTTTGAGAGGTTCACAGAGCTTCAGAGATGGCCAACGAGCTGTAACAGTGCTGTAAATTCTCAAACTCAATTTAACATATTTGATGAAATGAGAAAAGTAGCTATCCCCTATGAAAGGAACGTCATTAGAATGGATGATTTCAGTTTGCTTAGTCATTTGACGAACGTATGGATAATTCTCATGTGAGGAACACTTTATATCATTCAATTGAGAGTAACCTACAAACAAATGGAGTTCTGATCGACATTCCGGCGAAAAAGGTAATCCAAGATACCAACCTGACTACCATAAACCATAAAAATAAACCCAAAATAGACCCAACATCAACCCGACATTGGCTCGACACCTATTTTAAATTGGCTTGACATTGAACCGACAGTGGGTTAACATATTTGTTCGGGAAATTTTTTATGGGTTTCTTCCATACTTCAAAGTCGTATATCAATTGATAGTGAGTGACTCAATTTTCAGTGACAGTGACGATGAGGTTCGTTTTAGATAGTGGCTCCTCAAATGAAAGGCATGAGAAAATTCGTTGCGCAGAATTAATTGAATGGTTTAATTGGTTCATCGAATGCTACGAAAATTAACAGCCAGTGGCGAGTACATACATCTTCAGTTTTGTTCAGGAAACTGATAAGATCGTGGATGTTCTAATAAGTCTATTGAGCATAAAACATTAAATATATCCATGATTTCGGCATTAACCAGTCCATCATACGTTCGGTACGATCTATTTTTTTTTAAAGCTACCAAACAAAGTTTAAAACAACGCTTGGCATGCATTTTAGCACACCATTAACTCAAAACCAAAAGAAGCGCTCCTACCGAATCAATGTTTCCTTTCCATGGTTATCTTCATCCGAAGGCTAAAGTGAAAATGGTGGTTAAATGAATTCGTACAAAATTAGAAAACATACCATTTTGGGGCTGTTCATAAACTACGTAGACAATTGTCAATACATTTTCTTTTAAATTTGTATGGGCTATGGATAATTGTCACCCCCTCCCCCCCACTAAACTGTCTACGTATTTTATGAACAGCCCCTTTGTGAAAAAAAAATCCGCTCCCAAAAGAAAAGCAAAGTGAGGGTTGTGCTTAATAATATCCAACATTAGATCTAAGCCCTATCAAATGGGCATTTTTAAGCAAGCTTCATAATAATTGGTAATAATACCGATTTAGCATATAATTTCACCAGGGACACAAATTAACCCGGTATTGCAGTCCGTCAATATGAAACATATTCAAGTTCACCTCGAATCAATCTATTAATGAAGCGATGTAGTGAACATGTAAGCCCCATTAGTTTTCCAAAGCATCAAACTCATTTCTCTAAACTTTTTCGTCAACGATGCATTGTGCCTCTTCTTTTTTTTCATTTCTAAGGTAAACAAACAATCGAAAAGTCACGATTGAGTTTTACGCAAAATACAGTTTATCAGCTGATGGCGATGAATCGATTGTATCAGCGTCCATGAAAAAATAGATTACTCCGCATCACCCAGTTCTTCAATATAGCGGTCTGCCATATCATGACTTCTCTATCTTTTATTTCTCTAAAGTAACTATAATTAGTATCAACCCAATAGATTACACATTATTTATGTGGTTTTTAAGTAACATGCTATCCACGTTACATCAATTAATCGAATACATAATTTTTACTGATGATAAAATTAATGGAAACAACCATATTGAAATGAAAATCCGTAGAATTTTAAGCAAAACCAATTTCCACGCTTATTTAAAAAAAAAAATCACTGCTACGTTGCATTTAGAGATGCAGAGTGTGCATTTATTGATCAAAATAACGAACAAACATTTGTCCCAGATTAAAACCGAATCTTTATATTACTCACGTAACGAGAAAACAGAGCATTTTTATATGACAAAACAAGAACGAATAAACTGAATCTTCCTAACCACTTTGATAAACTTTTCACTGATAATTGCTTTGGTATGTTTAGCTTTTGAGCGAAGATCGTATATAGACAAAAAATAAAACATATGTACATGAATTATTTACAATAGAACAATGGGAAAATCGAACGATTTCATCAGGTCAAAATAGACCAACAAGAACCATTTTGAGAAACGTGAAGTATGACAAAAAGAGGCAATCAATAGTTTCGCTATACCGCTAGTAATTAATATCATACTTTTGAGCACATCTTCAGTGGAATTGATTTTATTTCTAGTTTTCACTTTTCCCACCAGCAAGGGCGTTTCGGATACAATCCCACAAATGAAACAAACAGGAAAACAAAAGTATATGAATAATTTAGGTTTAAATGAGACTGATTTGAAAACAATCATCTGTTCTACTAGACCGAAGCGTTTTAAAGATCTATTTAGGAGAACGTTGCTTGAAAAAAACTGTGGATTTTTTTTTCTAGTTTTCGGAGTTGACGCTATATTGGATTGCACTTTTTTCAACAGTTAGTAGAAATCAAATATTACTGATGGTTTCGCTGCTCTGCAAATACGGAGAAAACATTAGCGGAGTAATGAGGTGGGAGGAAATCCTTATATTGAGAGTGACGCAAGGAGAACCCGCGTGTAAATATAAAAACTTTTATATAACAAAACGCGATAGGAACGAAACGAAAAGTAGAAATTTTTTAGGACGAAATTAAGTGCATAAGCGGGTGATTCATTTAGGCTCGTTTTTTTACTCTCGATAGCAAACATGTGTGATAGTATTTTAAAGTCTTTGAGTTCTTTTAAGAGCTGTAATCACATTGAGCCATAACGGTTGCGGAAATATCACGCAATATATCTTAGTTGCGTTTTAGGCTAATGCAATCAATTATCAAAGTTGTCATTAATTATGTGAAAATATTCTCAATTCCATAACACGCGTAGTTCAAAGATCAAGTTTAATAGAGATCCGTTGAGGGCTCAATGTTTGTAATATGAAAATACTTCGCCTTAAACCGCTGATCGGTTACATGCACTGCATAATCACTGTTATAGGAAAAAAAATCACTTGCGTAGCAATTTTTCATCCGAATCATTATGTTCGATATTAGTGAAATCAATTCACAGATATGGGTAGTATAAGTCAAAAATTTCGCGTGATACTCTGCAAATCTTGTCCATGACCATTACTTAAGTAGGATCACTCACAATTAGTAAAATACATAGTTGAATTAATCCGCTCAATGACAGTGCTTGCTTAAGCTTTGCGTGGATATTACATCTTTGTTTTGAATGCCTAGTTTAAACTAGATGTTGTAATCGTGCCACCAGCTGCTTCCTACAGAAAGGCTTTATTTGCACAAATTTGTTCGATTTCAATAAACTAAACTCTGCCATCCAGAATCGTGTTTGGAGCGTCCCGTGGCACATGACAAGCTTTTGCAGACACTGTCAGTTTAGTCAAACATCAGTTGGTAGCACCCAAAGATTGAACAATGTAAGTTTTATTAAGTATTAGTGCTCTTTGCAAATTATACATTATGATTTTTTTTAATAACTTAGACAAGTTGAACATTCAGAATATATGTTACTGGGATCAAATACATTCATTGGGTTTCTGAATAGCTGACAAGTTGTTAAGACTACGAAAACAGGAAATGAACAAAACTAACGCATTTTATTTATTTGTTCATCATCAAAACAGGTGTAAATCGAATACAGGCTGTAAAATTCAAAATATTTTTCACAATTTGTTGTATTATATTCCTATGTTGTTTTCTGCCTTTATCAACTCTTTAAAAACCTACAATTGAATGATCCAAATGTGTACATACTTCAAAATTATTACCAAACTTTGAACGGCTAAAAATTTGACCCTTCATTCTAAAGCATAAATTTCAAAACGAACAATGGATTAGATCAGGCCTACCCAATCTTTCTAAACTTACTTTTTAAATGGCTTTATCTATGTTCAATGAACATGTTTCAAGTTGCATTTTGTTTATTTCTCATTCATTTTAGGCTAAAATTCATAATGTTGAATTGAATTGGACTAAAACTATATTTTTTTCTGAGATCCAGAGACCACGTCCAGGCCTCGGGCCATACGTTGGACAGTGCTGGTTTAGGTCCTAAGTAACATTGACAGATTCTCTTCGTCCATGTTAAAGACATGTCCAGCTATATTCAACCAACAGTTCGATGAATGTAGCTTTTAACTAGTAGCTAATACGTCAAACAGTACAAGAAACTGTTTTGTAGCCAAATTATTAACGAAGTATAAAGTCGATGTAGAGATTCAATCAAGGGTTCTTAGGACCTAATGCATTGTTTGTTTTGATTTGTGAATATAGTTTTATTTCTTTTCATCGTTATTAAATTATTCGAATCATGTCATTTATCTTAGAAATTAAAATGTTTCAATTTTACTGAACTGTTCAAAGTTTGGCAAAACATTGCCGAAATTGGATATAATTTATAAGTTTCATGTATTCAGCAAATTATATACATTCATAATTGAGTTTACCATTCAGATGTGCTACCAACTATCTTTAATAATTCTTTAATCAGTATTTCAATTCAATCATAACACTTCAGTCGGAGAGGTTCATATGATCAAAGATTATTGTAAAAAGTATTAAGTACCGGGTAAATTTCACATGAACAAACTACTAAAACACAATAATTAACAGATGCATATACTACTGTATATAACACGAAACCACATTATACAAATACAAATAATAAAAAAAAACACAGAAAAGTGAAACTGAGAAATTCTAAATAAAAAGCAGCGATGCAAGAGTGAATCATTTCCTAGTTTTATTCTTCTAGACGAGCTCAATGAAAGAAACCCTATTCGCAATCCCACACAAATTCTTACCGATCTGAATTTTGATGTAACCTCGATCGCCGAATCTGGGACCCCAGGAATTTTTAACCAGGTAGTATGGGATTTTGTTTTCCAAGTTGTAGCCGACGATTTCCACCGCATGGTTCATTTCATCGTAGGCCCCATCACAGTGATACTGTATCACTCCTCCCAGGTAGTATTTCCACGAGACTGCATTCACCGCTGCCACTATAGGCCCATGCGTTGCCAAGTAGCGTAGCATCAGATGTTCGCGATCAACGAGGCTGAAAGTACAGTCAAATGGATCAATCTCATAACAAATCGTTTGCACACAAAACTAAAACTAATGCAATAAGAAGGTATGAGGGACAGGACACCCGGGATCGGTTTCAGTAGGGCCACAATGGGAACACTTTTCTTTAATTCTTCATGATTTTTCAAACAGAAGTGATTTGGTCTAGGACCGATACCTCGAAATCGGTTCTGGTAGGGCCACAACAGAGACACTTTCAGTTTATTCAGTAAACATGTCGTGCAAACATAAGTGCTTTGGCATCGTTCCAACGTACAATGGATGGACTAGTCCACGTCTGGATACCTCAGAGGCGATTACGGTAGGACCTAAATGAGGACACTCATAAATGTGAAGAAGAAAATTTGTGAATTGAAGAAAATTTATTGAATCTGTATGGAGAGACCCGAGACGAGCGTTTCCTGAAAGCGCGACTACGGGACACACAAATTATGTACATCGTGTGCCTTGACGAATACCAACATCGACATTAATTGGGCATCCAAAGGACTACCGGCCTCAGCGGAGGAATTCCGAAAAATCTTTTTCGAGGTGCATGAATAATATGGTGTACCAATACAGACGGCATCTGACGAATTGGAATCCCATCGGTGTCATCTTAACAACCAGAGGACCCAAAACCTGCAACGTATAAGGGAAAGCGCCACCAGATCTCACAACCCGAATTTCCGGAAGTAATGGCTGCTTTCGACGAGAAAGAGGTAAATAATAATAACAGGGGAAATGGCTCTAATGTTGGCCTATGGATCTAAGGTTGGGCCCATCGCTAAAAATCTACTATTTGTCAATATTATCCAGAAGAGCGCGTCATTGCGACGGTATTAGTGGATATTTTTGGTCGCTATTGAAAATTTAGTCGATTGCTATTATTATTATTTAACTTTATTAAGGAGGCTTTCAGCCTTGGGCTGGTTCGCCTCCACGTGCACTAGTCGATTGCTGAATTTATGTATGGGCCCAAATTAGGGGCATTTAGGCCGACATTACATCCATTTCCCCTATTGAAAATATTTATTATCAACCGAAGTACCTCCAACAATTTCTTCACATAAACAGAATGCGACTGAAATTTTGAACTAATTTCAATAGCATGAAAAGCCCAACCTAAATGAAGGAAATCTATCAACTTTTAATTAATATTTTATCAATTTCAACTCAGAAATCATATTTACATCAAAATTTAAAGAATTGGAGCATGTTTGGGTGGAATCTTTCATAGCAGGTGAAACACATGTGTTCGCCTCAGTGTATTTTCCACCAACCCATGCTCATAAAAACACTTATGAAGCATTCTTCCAAAGTGCTTAACAAATTATATATGATCTAAGGTTAAAGTTCACATCTATGGGGACTTTAATCAACGCCATACTAACTTCATTCTGAACATAGAACAAACTTTATTTTTTTATTTAAAAAATATTTACATATATCAGTGTTTGCAAACGCGGACCTGCCTTTCATACGCTATAACAAGTCCTAAACTATGTTTTGAATCGCTCTACTATTCTAAGACAGTTATACTCACGAAGTAAATGGATATAATTTTATGAGTGTACTCATTATGCATAAATAGGATTGGCATACAGATGTTAGGCATAATTTATGTTAGGCATACATACATTAGGAATAATGGACGCTAGATAAAATATTCGGTTGGCATAATGGATAAAAGTTCAAGCTATTAAGTTTGATTTACATATACATTTTGTAGCTTCAAACTTGGATCTAGAAATTCAGCTTGCATTGTGATTATCAGGGCTTTCTTGAAGTTAAAGCTAATGATATTTATTGGTTCTATAGGCATTAGACTAGCCCAAAAAATAAAAGTTCTTATTTTCCACGGGCCAACCCCTAGATTTGTGCAATTAGGTGAGAAAACCACTCCCTGAAAATTTCAGCTCATTCGGATGTAACACGAGCTGCGCTTTTGGTTTGAATTTTATGTGGGGAATTTGAAAGACAAAAGACACGAGGCTGGATTTTTTTTAATTAATATATCCATAATACTAACTTGAATCGCGATGCTGTCTTCAGCAAAGTTGTTCCTTATAGTTTAAGCTCCGTGTGCTGATATTCTGAGGTAAATCGAGTTTGCTGAATCGGCGCGGATGTACATGTGAACTTATTGTATCTATAAGCTATATCTTGATATCGTGACCATCCAGAAAGTTACTGTTTTCGGCAAACTTGTTCAAGTGATCAACGCTTTTTGGATGGTAGACAAATTAGTTCGCAGTGTTATCGTTACGCGTTGCAATTATTAATATCTCGAAAGCCTGACCATCCCGAAAGTTTCTATCTTCAGCAATGTTGGTCAGGTGACTTTGGCATTCCTGATTATATTCATACAAGCGCCATGTAGTTATACAGTTAAGAACTAATCTATCTTCCATCCAGGAGGTTTCAAACTCAGAACAAATTTTTCGAAAATAACAACTTCTTGGATCTTTTGTTTTTTATTTAAGAGATTTTTAGCCTTGAGCGACATCTTAGATGATCAGGACATCAACGTGAAGTTCACATTCACACTAACGGCTTTACTTTCCTCCAGAACATCCCGGCGGCGCCGACTGGGATTGAACCCAGGGCTGCTGGGGTGAGAGGTAATGACGCTTATCACTACACCACCAGCGCCGCTAGTTTTTCAAGACCAAGCTTTCAAGTATAACAGCATTTATTATTGTATGTTTATTGTAATTCTTGGTAGCAGTTTTACCATCTTCGGGAAGGGTACAATATTACAACAGTTACTGTTATTGTCAACAATAAATATTGCAGTAAGATAATCGGTTCTACCGAAAAAAATGCAGTAATCTTTTTTCGGGGCATCGTCATCGTGGAGCAATGATATATTTATCGTATTAAACCGTACAGTGTTTTTTTTCCTTGATTTGTTTTCCGTCGATCTTGTTCTCCGTACTGAGTACCAATGCTACCGATGCCAGAGGCAGCTCCCACGCCTGCACCCTATCTATTATTGACCCATCAAACTTATGAACCAACGACTCTTTACCTCCCTTCCGAAGGGGATTGGGATTGAACCCCGGCCTTTTGGAGTGAGAGGCAATCACGCTTACCACTACACCACCGATGCCGCTAACCGTACAGTCTAACCAAATTAATAACCCAACAAATAACCTGACACACGCTTAGATGTTCTCAAAGAACAGCTCATAGGAAAAAAGAATGGAAAATTTTGCGATTCGGCCAAATTACCCAAATTGCTCATCTGAACCTAACATAAATCATGAATGTAGAAAGAACATTTAGATTGTTGCCATAGAACAGCTCATGAGAGAAAGAATCGAAAATTTTATGTTTTTTCATTTAAAAATGAATTATTTCCGTCGTCTATTATGCATAATTTCCATTATGTCTAACGTCCATTATGGCAACCATCCATTATGCCTATCGTCTTTATGCCTAATGACCATATGTCTTACGTATTTATTCCTAACGTCGTGCACCGTTTTTTAGGCCGCCATGATCAAAATAAAAAATAATAATCTTAGAAACGAATGAAACGATGGTTACATACCCTCCTGCGGTATTTAATGAACAACAGAAAACTCACCTGATGCAAGAGAACTGATCCAACGTTAAAAATTCTCCTTTGGAAGATTTCTGAAACATACAAGCTGAACCATTTTTGTTGGCTTCCAACGTTTGACACTGCTGTAAAGTGTTGAGTTTAAGATTTTCTTGTTTCAACCACTCCAAAAGCCGGCAGGTATCACCGCCTTCACAGCCAAAATTGCCATTCCCAGCACAGTTAACGACTTGATCAAGGCATAGTTCTGAGAAATTTTGTTGTCTTTTGATTGCTGATATTGACGATATTGTGTCCACTACACTGATTGCCCAGCAAGCCCCACAGCTGCCTTGTGATCTCACTGGAGGCACAACTCCTTTATCACGCCTGTTGAAAAAGTTTAACCCATGATTAACCAGCGAATATTTTTCACCATTACTCGCAACTTAATATTATATTTACCAGTCCACAACCTTCGGCAGATAGTCAGGTATATAGAGCTCTCTTTTAGCACGTGAGAAAATGATGTCATCCTTTATTTCAGCACTTTTTGATTCAATGATGAATTTATCAAGTGGATTAACCCCTACTTTATCCGGTGATCCCGGGGGTGTTTCATGTTTTAGATCAGCCAAGTTCAAGTGAAGAAATTCCTGGTCAGTCAAATCTGCGTACTGCGTAATGCCATAAATGGCAGTATCGTTTTCTACGCGGTGTGCATTCAGAGACGCTATTTTGTTCAAAGATGATCGGAATATTTGAAATCGATGATCGTATTCACGCACGTTAAACCGGTAAGGCTTATCATACAGCCTAATGAAGGTATCGAACTTTTTGCGGGCTTCGATCACGGAGTTGGGTTGAAGGTTAAACGGGATCATCAGGAAGCACAGTGTGACTATGATAAGAATCATAATCATTTCAATCACTTCAGACATTTTGGCTATATATTTATAGAATAGCGAGAGTAAACTTTTTCATTGAACAGCACAACACAAACTGTCTGTATGTCTGCCAAAGGGCTGTTGAATTGTTCTATCTGCTACTCCTTATCATCATAGATTTTTCTTGTTCTGGTAGTGTGTATCCCAAGCAAATGCAGATCATCGCATAAGAAGCAAAGAAATAAATTTCGTTTCAATGTGTGCCTCACACAATCTGTCCATAATACATTCACCCGATTATCTCCTTTCAATGAATATGGGTTATTTAATGAATATTAACTATGAATCATAACACAGAATGAACCTATGGCGCAATTATCGCAAGCCTGCACTCATGTGTTTCATCCTGCAAGCCGTTTAAGTGTTTTGAGTTCTCTGTTAGAAAGGTCGAACAACAAAACGTCACACAGAGAGACAATTAATTAATCAAGGGGGAAACATTTCCAGGCCAAATCGAAAAATAAAAATGAGTATCAAACATCTCCGATTTCCATAAAACTTTGTGGTTACTATAAAACCACTGAGGCCCTCATATCATACCACTTATGATCCGATTGTTGTTGTAACCATTTAAACCTGGCACCGACGACAATAACGACAAGCAATGTGACTCTAAAACTCCTTAATATGAAGAAGTCTGGAATAGATTCCACGATTTACTGCTCAGTAAGTAAAAATGGCTGTCTAAGGCATCCGAGTCCCACATATCACATCACACCACTTACGATCGAGTTGGTACTTTAACCATTCATACCCGACGACGGTGCGTACACCAGAATAAGAGCAGTTCCACGCGAAATAAGCAAGACCAGATTTGAGTCTTTTCGATTTGAATGAATCTTTGTCTATGTTTTCTACAGGGAGAATATGAATCATACAGATATATTTAGTCTATTTTTGCTCAAGCGTCATATTTTGAAAAGGCGTATGATTTTCATTGGCACGATATTTGAAAAAAAAATGTATCTCAAAAACTATTTATTGTACCAAATTGTATCAAGGAAGAGTTCTAGATAATTGATTTTAAATCGTGAAAATATATACGCTGTATCATAATAATTTACGTAATAAATTAATTTAAAAAACTTCAATCCGATCCTTGAAAAAAAATTCTTGGAACAATACAGTTTAGTGTTTTAAAAGTAATTCGTAGATGGAGCAACATTTATTAACAGATTTCGTAGAAGACCGATTATTCATTGCTTTTTCTTAGTCTTTGCTAGAAATGCAAAATATGAATTTTAACCACTTATTTATAACGATTACTGATGTCATTTTTAAAAAAAATTCTCATATAAAAACAAATTTTGCCGAAATTATTTTCAAAATATCTCGAAAACTGGAAGTTACTCACAAAGAGCATACATATATTATTTCCTTAAAAATCATATTCTATCATTAAAATTTACTAATTATTATTTCTGAGTCTTTCTGGGAAAAATATAGACGGTCATTTTTTATTTTGAGTAAATATTACAAAAAAGTGTTAAAATCTCAAATGTCTCAATTAGTATGCCTTAAATTTGTATGTTAAAAAAAACTCATGAAAAATGCAAACAGTTAAAGTATTAAAAACCAACCTGAAAATTGACAAAATTGGAGAACAAAACCAACAACAACAATTAGATCAAATATGTTAACTTGTTGCTAGTACGTTGTTTTATGTAATTTCGACACAGAAAACAATATGTGATACGTTCTTAATCGTTTTCTGTGCAAAAATTACAAACAAATGCTTCCCAGAGATACCTAACTTTTCTCAACAACGTTGTTTCAGACGTCATTGCGATCTGAAGTGGTGTGTTTGTGCTACAATCGATTGAAAAATGTTTAAAACGCCATTTAGATATTAATTGAATGATCCAAATTGTGTATTGTATTTGTATTGAAAATTGCTCTTTCTTTGAAAAACATCTTTTAATTAGAATTAAAATACTAAATACTTAAATTTTACTTTAGATTTTATGAAAAAAAAATCGATAATTATTTTTTAAAGCATATTTTTTATATAAAGCCCAATGGATTCGCTACAACTTCTCTTCTGACACAATTTAGTTACAATCAATGGTTTTCGAGTTATGATTTTTTGAAATATAACTACATGTGCGAAAACAAATACATTCTATTGAAAAATAAGTCTCAAGTCAAAATAGTATCTTGACAAGTGAAAAAAACAATGATATCCCATACCGAAAACATGCACAAATTTCATCTAAATCGCTTACTCAACATTATTGCTTGTTTATGAAAAAGAGTTTTAATTTTTCAAAAATCCATAAATTGATGATGGTTTATTTTATTAGGTAGAATAAGCTCTGCGAAGAAGTTGAAGTTAATAAAATGATATTTAAGAGAAAAAAATATACACTGATAACATGTTAAAAATTTAACTGATATCTTCTCAAAATACACCCCATTTTTTTTTATTGTTTTTGTGATGAAAGCTGAAGTTCTTACCTCAAGTCTGGTGCTAATTGTTGAATGCTAAAATTTTTGAAAGTTTTTTTTTATATTTTTTTGTTTTTATCAAGTTTTATAACATTCTCAAATATGTATTTTTTAGTTAAATAATACCAAAAATGAATTCTATGCGTAATTTTTGATAATTAAGCGTAGAATTATTCAATATTACACCTGATGATAAATTATTGTGAATTTTAAATTAGGACATTTAACTACTTTTTGGCAATGTCTCATTTTTTTTCTAAGACTTATAGATAAGGTCTATCAAACATGAGACAATGAAAGGAATTAACAGAAAATAATCATAATTTTCTGAAAAAACATAAATTTCCGAAAAAAAAAATTTCATTTCTGTACTATACAATCTCTGAGGCATAACATCTCTGATCACGCCTTCCTTCGGAAGGGAAGTAAAGCCGTTGGTTGCCGGTTCATGAGTTGATGAGTCGATAGGTAGCGTCCAGGTGCGGGAGCTGCCTCCATGGTGTCGGTAGCATTGGTACTCAGCACGGAAAACAATATCGACGGAAAACAAATTAAGGAAAAAAAAAAAAACTATTTTTCTCTCAGTGTACTTTTTTTTCGTAAAAATCTATTTTATTAAATATACGCCCAGCAGACGGACCTCAGTCAGCTGTATATGAAATCCTCATGATTCTTGCAAGTCAGGCGTACCATTTGAAAACGTCACGAAAGCTTGCTACAACTTGTAAGGCCCTTCCCGGGGAAAGGGGAATAGCAAAACTAGACCAAAATAAGATCAAATCAACCATCAATATTTTATTATGTACACAGCAAAAAAATAATTTTGATATCACGTCAAAGTGGATGCACTACAATCATGTCGAAAATATGGTGTAATCTTACTTGCTAAAAAGGACAAAATTATCATTAATACAATGCATGAACTGACATTACGCTGCTTTTACTGCATTTGTTTATTTATGTGGTCATAAAAATTACATGAAATTTTCGACATGATTGTAGTGCATCCACTTTGATGTGATATCAAAATTATTTTTTTGCTGTGTAATTGGTAAGTTTTTTTCCTTGATTTGTTTTACGTTGATCTTGTTTTCCGTGCTGAATACCAATACTGGACCCTACAAATCGACTCATCAACTCATGAACCGAGGACCAACGGCTTTACTTCCCTTCAGAAGCTAATTATTGGTAAGTTGTTCGCAATAACATGTTAATAACTTATTCTTCTATCGGAGCATAATTTGCTATTGTCATGATAGATTGGTATCATTAATTCAAGAGCTAATTTTGATTTGATACCATAATAAGCTATTAACATGCCATTAACTAATACAATTCAAACATCATAACAATAGACTGATGAAATTTAATAGCAAAATATGATACTAATTTTCTGTGATGTGCGCTATTCTTGAGATATGACACCAACTGACATTGCTATTACTCATTTATTGTCCCTTAGATGTTTTGATTTTATTTTTAATATGTTACCTGTCAAACTAATGGCAATTTCTGATGTTCTGTTCCCCAATTTTAATAGCAAAACTTGTTATTGGTTTTATACTCTTGTCTAGTTGGGTTTCCGCATGGGCACATTTCGGTTCGCATGTTAAGGGCCTTACTACTTTTGTATACAAAAGTTTTTGTGACGTTTTCAATTGTTACACGAGAAATATTCAATACAGAAAATAATAACAAAATGTTTGTATCAGGCTGATACACCTTGTAGCTCCCGTACTTACGAAACGTCAAAACAATAAATAAAAACAAACTTCTCGTTCGGTGGGGCTTTTCACGAACCAATCTAAGGATTTTTGATGAAAAAACTATGTTTTCTGAGGTTTGTTGGTACCCTTTTAATGAGCTGTACTTCTTCTGAGTATTTTTTTTTTAAATAATCAATCAAAACAAACTTCTTGTTCGGTCGCGCTATCAACGATCTAATTTTATAAGCAACCATCAAAGGATTTTCGATGAACCAATTATGTTCTGTGACGTTTATTGATAACCTTTTCCTTCATTAGGCTATACTTCTTCTGTGACTGTTGATACAGGTATGTAAAAATTCATGAAGCATGTGAAAAAATGTGAAAATATTGTGAAGAATTTAAACCAGGGGTAAATCACATTCGACGTGGTAAAAGCACCATCCCTCTTTATTGCGTAGCGTCTTTTATTGAAACTGAAATGGTATTATTCCAGACCAAGTATTAATTTCTCTTTGCTATAATCAAGAATAAAAACCTGAATTCATCCACCTATGGCGAGCTTAAATTTTGTTTTGTGCCCGATTAGTATACGGAACATGTCCGTGTACGACCAATTGTGGCCAATGAGGTCCACCGTACCCAATTTAGCCACATGTTTGCCACTTCATGTAACATTCAGTGTTCTCAAACCGAAACATAAGCAATTCGACGAAGAGTACACACTTAGAAAAATTCATGTAAATTTAGGTGCTCTGAGACTGACATATACGAGCGTCAATTTTGACATAAAATTGAGTCATGACAGACGCAAAATTCAGGTCAATCAAACGAACTTTCGAACTTTTCAGTCTCAGAGCACTTAATATTACATGACATGTTTGTTTACGTCTGATGCTTTATGTCAAAGATGGATTCCGTCACGTGTAAGATTAGGTAGGGAAAATGACGGCTTCGGCATGACAGACTATTTTCGGCAACCCAAATTGAAACACTATTTTCACTGGATTTTCTTACGAAAACACTTCGCTGAATGCATGCAAACGATTCTTTATGCTTTCAGCTTCAATTTGACTATATTTTTACCACTGAGAAAAAGCAATCTAGCAAGGTTTTCTTCAAATGCAACACACGCACTACAAATTGTAGCTGATTTCGAGTTGCCGATAATAGAACAGCAGATTTACATGCAGTTCAAATGGAACGGTTGCCGAAGAAAAACTGGTTGCCGACAATACTCGCTCTCACTAGAGAAGTTTGAAGCTTTGTAAAAGCGTTTCAAAACAGTTTTTGACAATTCTTTCGACTGAAATTGTTAGAGCAGCTGGCAGCAAAAGATTGTAAACAAACCAATACTGCATATGTGTGCGTTCCTTAGAGAAAAAGGCTATAGAAAGAAGGTCGCTGCTTAGGTTCTCGAGAATACGTAAATTCCCCTATTTCTAAGTGTGTAGGTTTGATTGAATTGATTTTCTTAGTTAGGTAGGTTCCGATTCTGCATAATATAGTTTCATTTTTATACCTGTGATCTTGAAATTATTACCTAGGGGATGAGTACTTAAGGGGGTTAGATTTTGATAATCCTAAAGTGGGGATGACTCTGATGAAGACTGTACATTATAGTCGAAATACGTTTCTGTCATAGATACCAAAATTAATTAAGTGGAATAAAATGGAAGATAACCTCTTTTGCTGTTTTATTTAAGCATTCCGCTAACAACCCAATTTCATTACTTCATTATGATGGCTACCAAACTTTTGGGAATTTTTCCTTATTAGAGAGTTGTATAGATTTTTCTCCTTAACTTTACATGTAAATTTAGGTGCTCTGAGAGTGACAAATACGAGCCTCAATTTTGACATAAATTAAAGTCATAACAGACGCGAAATATAGCTCAATCAAACGTACTTTTCGTCGAGTAACGAAATTTTCAGAGCACTAAATATAATGTTTGTTTACGTCTCATCTTTCATGTCAAAGACGGATTCCGTCACGTGTAAAATTAGTTATATCTTAGTGTGTAGGCTTAGTAATCTGTTTTAAAATGAATTTTTACCTTCCTGATGGTTTCTGTTTTATGTATTTAGCCCAAGTAACAATGTTGATTTTATCATAGTCTTGTAGATTTGTTGATTTGAAATTTAGGTGCTCTGAGAGTGACATATACGAGCGTCAATTTTGACATAGAATTCAGTCATAACAGACGCGAAACTCAACTTAATCAAACGTACTTTTCGTCGAGTAACGAACTTTTCAGTCTGGGAGCAGTCAATTTTACATGAAATATTTGTTTACGTCTTAAAGGATTATGTCAAAGATGGATTCCGTCACTAGTAAAATTCTTTATTTCTAAGAGTGTGCTGTAAGAGAAAGGAAAGGTGAGAGTGCTGTTTTAACACCGGTTGAAGAAGTAGCGGAAACATATTTATGGGAGCTCTTCGAAATCATCGTGATGTCATGGATTCCGGGTGAGATCTTTTCATTTATTTTTCTCTTTTTTCTCTTAATTTTCATTCCGTTATTATATGAAACGTTATATGCTGGGTACGGGACGGTCCACCTGATTGAAGCGAAATGGATGGAGAGAGTGGAAATGTCAACTCCCTGTCATTAAAATTTCGTGGAAAAAGGGTAGGCTCTTCTTCCCATTCATTGGGGCATCCTCCAGTTGGATAGTTTATTTTTTGACCGGTTGTATGATCCTGTTGTTGGAAGAAGATTCTCAATTATCCCGTGGATGCACGTGGGCGATGTTGTCTACGGTTTCCCCCAAACTGTTTTTGGCCCTTCATTCAACGGCAGGTTTAGTACAATTAGAGATCATTAAACTTGATCGAATCGAACAACGAGGATAGTTCACAGTCTACTGACAGTTGTCTTGCTACTGTGAGTGGTATCATCATACCATCATATCATCACTTGTGTGGGCTACTTTCTCCAAATAAAGAACAAAGAATACCAATGTCATCAAAACAACAGGCTTGTTAAGCCGGCGCCGGTGGTGTAGTGGTAAGCGTGACTGCTTTCTAACACCTCAATGAGTCTGGGTTCAATCCCAGCCGAGGTCGGTGGGATTTTTCTGAGGCATAAAAATCTCTGGTCACGTCTTCCTTCGGAAGGGAAGTAAAGCCGTTGGTCGCGGCCCATGTGTGTTGTGAATGGGTGCGATATCCTACGCAGGTGTGGAAGCTGCCTTCCTGCAGCTTACATTGTCATTAATTTTTTCATTGTCAAAATTGATTACATTGTCACGATGTCCGTCAGTGATTGGCACTAGATTGCGGAACAGAGACCGACGTTAAATAAAGGAAAGTAGAACAGGCTTGTTAGTTAGTGATCCCTAATAGAATAAAATATCTAACCAATAGTAAATTTTGATGTTAAAAAAAGAAATCCTTTCTGCTTTTGGTTTGATCGATATAAGAGGTATATCTGTATATAATATAAGAAAACCTATGGACTAATAAATTAGCAATAACAAAGTAAGCTATTAGCATTTATCATAACTATATAAACATATACATAAATAAAAATTAAAAAAAAATGCTTCAGTGCAGATACAACTAGCCTTGAACCTAGGTCGTGTGCATGACTTTCTGAGCTATATTTTCTTGTTGAAGGTACGACGAAAAAGGACCAACAGTTTCTTCGGTTGTCAGGGTTATACTTTTCAAAGACGAAAATAAAGCCGATCGTGTGGCGAATCGATCAAACCATTAGCAAAAAGAGTTCTTAAGATTTATTTTTAATAGCATGCTATTGAGTATATTCTACTTGGGTAGTTTGTGTTCAAAAATATCTCAGTTTGATATGGATAAGATGTTGTAGTCAGCGTACGATATACGATATTAATTGATTGCAAAAATGTTTATGTTGGTATTCTTTGTAAATTATATGAAGTAACTGAAGCGTCAGCCAATCCCGGAAGAAGTTCTGGGTAGAGATACAACATAATTTCAAAGCTTGCTATCATATCTTATTGAGCTATTGGTTTGTTGTTCAATAAATTAATTCAACAACATACTCTGTTGTTATAACACAAATCGTTATTTTGATGATATTTTTAAACATTTATTTTAATTTTCAAAATATCATAACAAAAGCAAATTATGTTCTGATATCAGATTAAGTCATTAACATTTTATAGCACACAACTTACCAATATTAAATATGGTATTGATAGTAAAATGAGTTATTATTATTCCCCTCTACTCGAGATGGCAACCACATATTAAACGTTTGGATAACAAGAACCAAAATTAGACCGATGTAAGGGAAATTCAATAACTTCCCATAATAATTCACCAAAATCTCCTTATAAATTTCAAACCAATTTGCATGACCTCTAAACTTTTATCAATCTTTGCCACTTTTTGCACAGACTCTTATTTTGGTGATATGAATCACATTGGAGGGTAGCCTATGATAAATCTAACACTTTTTGCAAATTGAAGCACCCCAACAAACATTCGAAGTAAAATAAGAGCTTATTCAGTCAAAAATATGCTTCTTCAGCTAAAAGATTGCTTATTCAGCTTTTAATCAGCACAAATTGTTTGTTGGGACCCTACTGTACATAGGGGAAATGGCTCTAATTTGGCCTATGGATCTAAGATTGGGCCCATAAAAAAAACCGGCAATTTATCAATTTTATCCAGATGAACGCGTCATTGGGACGGTACTAATGAATATTTTTGATTGCTATTGAAAATTTAGTCGATTGCTGAATTTATGTATGAGCCCAAATTAGGCCGACATTACATCCATTTCCCCTATGTAGACTACACACTTTGAAATAACTAATTTTACACGTGACGGAATCCGTCTTTGACATATAAGATGAGGCGTAAAAAAACATGTCATGTAATATTAAGTGCTCCGAGACTGAAAAGTTCGTTGCTCGACGAAAAGTACGTTTGATTGAGCTAATGTTCGCGTCTGTTATGACTCAAATTTATGTCAAAATTGACGCTCGTATATGTCACTCTCAGAGCACCTAAATTTACATGAATTTTTCTAAGTGTGTAGACTAGACTATAGCCTGAGTTTTCGCTCGCTACTACCCTTTGGCTCCTAAGGGATATCTGCAGGTCATGCGTTTGAGAACTGATTTAAACTTTTACCTCGATATCTCAGAAATTATGTACACAAACACAACTGTAAGTCGACAGTGAAGTACGTTTTCAACCGCCATATGAACCAAAGAGAGCCAGAATGTGTTGTTTTTCTCTATTTGAAAAGTATTTCACCCTCAGTCTCAACGGTGATGATGCAAATATTTGTTTATCAAAGTGCTTTATTTTCTGCAGAATCAGTTTCTCGTTATCACTTTAATCTTCTTCAAATTTGATAAACAACCTGATGTACCCGAGCGACTGCCTGCATTGTGGGTTAATTTGTGTTTGCCACGCCGTTCCCTTGCTTAACCTGGTGTACTGGCGATCCCCAAGCGAGATTCAGTGCTTTCTGCATTTCATTGGTAAGTGGAGGAATCGAACTACGCGGAATCAAAAATGTTGACAAGTTGAACAGATCGATGAACACTTTGTAGCGATCACTGTAAGCAAAAAAATTGATTACATTGTCACACATGATTGAGCTTGATTATAAAATGTGTTTACCTGAGAGTGGATCGCAGATATTGATATCCTGACGAACCACCAGTTCCAAATTGTTGCGAACCGATCATTCTTTGGACCATGATCACGTGATTGTCTGTAATAAAAAGTCGCAATGATAGTAAGCAAACCATATTTCTCGGGAAACCTGATAGTACAATCAACTTACATCGCCACTTGGTAATTAGGGAATCGATATCCATCAGTAGCATCAAAAGTTGATGTGGTTGGCTAAACCTGGGCTCATCACGGTAGAAAGTAATCATGATTGCGCCTTGCAAAGCTCGATGCGTGAATCTACGATCACCACGAGAAACAAATGCTTCATGAACGCTCGAATCGAAGATTGACTTGTACACCTCTCTGCGTTTTTCGATATCCATGAGACGGTAGTTCTTTACGTTTTCATGTTCTTCTTCCTGCAAAAATGGATACAGTCGATGAATCTAAAGACAATATGTAACCAGTTCTCTATTACCATAGCACTTTTCTCTTGTTCGGCGAGAAGTTTTTCAACGCTCTCTTCGAATTTTCCCCAAAAGTTGAAACCGTTGACTTCCAAACCTGGAGTCCGCTCAAGCCACTTCTGGACTAGGTCAGCCAGGGAAGGTTCAGTGTCGGTGGCAGTGAGTTTTTCCACAGCCTTTAGATCACTAGAGAAAACTTCCGAGTATTTTTGGTTATACTTAACTCGGTGCTCGGTCTTCACACCCAGTTTATTTTCCAACAAGCGGAACTGCAAACTTTGGAACCCGGAAGCTGGTGACAAAAAGTCACGAAAATCCATGAAGTCCAGCGGTGTCATTGTCTCCAGGATAGGAACCTGATCGACTAGCAGCTGTAAGAAAGATACGATAAATTGAAGTTTATTACAGTTAATTAATAAGAGCTGCTAATAAATGATGAAAATTGCAGCTATTCTCAGTGTTGAACCAATAGTCAGTTGATTTTTGTACATCATACCATTATATTTAAGGACATAATTAAGTGAAATTAATGCCTCTAGTTTGCTCACTGGTATTGGAAATAAACCTGATCAATGATCAAGGGAAAAAAATCTTTTAAAAGCTTATTCTAGACGCTAGTATGTCACTCCATTCTTCTGACTAAAAAAACACGAGCAGGACAGTCATTAAGCAGTTGACAGAGAATTTCATCGTTTTAATGTTGCAAAAACCATTTGAAGGTTATTTGGCCTACACTACGAAACAAAACGAAATCTGCATCCACACTCTGGAACTGGAATCCAATAGGTCATCGTTACAGGACCCAGGAGCTCATGGCGGTGATGTCTCATACAATTTAGTTAGTTTTTTTTACTAAAGAGACTTTCACCCGTGGGCTGGTTCACCACTTGCCTCATAAAAGAAATAAAACCAGTCGACAGAAAATTGACCTTCATAGTCGGTTGATGATTTTGTATCGATGCGGTTTTCACACTGCCTGCAGCTCGATTGCCTCCCTTAGCTCAGTCGGTAAAGGCGCAGCTACAAAGCAAGACCATGCTGGAGGTGGCTGGGTTCAATTCCCGGTCCGGTCTAGGAATCGAAATGGAAATGGAAATGGAAAATTTCTCGACTTCCCTGGGCATAGAAGTATGATTGGACTTGCCACACAATTACACTAATGCAAAAATGGTACAGGCATCGAAAGCTCTCAATTAATAACTGTGGAAGTGCACCTAGAACACTAAGTTAAGAGCACGCAATAAGCTAATATGCGATATGCAATAAGCTTGAAATGCGAAGAAGAAGAATGCAGCTCGATTGATGCCTTTTGTCGTCACCGTCAGAAGCAAAAAAAATAGAGATGGTGAAAGTGATCATCACGATAGGATTCAATTTTTCCAATGAAAAAAACAAAGCCCATCATTGGTGAAATTTCCAATTTTAGGGAAGCACTGAATGTGAATCCCATTGAGATGGATACGACGTACTATATTATGGAGGAGAAAGTAGTTTTCATTAACTTCAACTTAGCACCACATCCCGAGTAGAAGAAGATAACTGTATGCATGAAAAACACTTTCTAAATAACAAAATAATATACTTGGATACCAAAAAAATGCCTGGGTGGTATCGTTTTGGTATTTCATTTGATAATTTGGCATTGGAATGATATTGTGGGAACATTTTTTTTGGAAATATTTATTGGTATTTTGCCTCTTATGTCAGGCTAATCCATACCAATTTAAGGCATCGAGATATTCTTTCCTGCTCGGGAAGCATATAATTCTCTATTATGCTGGTATTTACTTGACTGATTCTCTTCGTCGACTTTCTCTTTGTAGCCTCACGGCCATGTAAAGACATATTTAAGCCATTATATTTAAGCTATTAACGTAATTTGAAATTACAGACTTTAAATAATTATTCGGTATCATTAGGTTTAAACTCTATTTTTTAAATGCTGAGCAATGATTTTTTAAACATTGCTAATTTGGTGTCTCACATTTTACCGGAGGCATCGTGTTCGGAGTGTTAAGGTAAAATTTATCCTTCTCCATTAATTTCTTTTGCTAAATCACCACTCAGAAAAAAATTAACCTGGACTGCAACATTAATTTCCTTCAAGATTTCCGAAATTGTGAAACAATAAATTAAAATAATTTTATGTTCAGTTTACTCAAGATAATTTTCAAAATTATTCTACACTCAGGAAAATGTACACAGACATAATTGTGAAGAGTAAACATACATTTTCTTTAATGATTTCCCATAAAAAGTAAGTTTCCGACACATTGAAGCATTTTATTGAATCTATTAAAAATATGGATGTATGAAAATTGAAAAACAATGTTTATTTATTCCTGAGTGTATTTTATAATAATTTAAAGCTTATGTTATTTTAAGCTAAGTTAAAAATATAAATCACCATAATTTACAGCATGGTAACCCAAATCAATGCTGTAGCTCTAACCGGAAATTGTACCACATTTACATGATAGAATTCCATTGAACTCGGCTTCATTATTAGACGACCGGCATAAGAAGCATAAGACGCCGTTTCGCTACACTATAAAGCAAACGCATAGCTATGTATGTAAACATTCACGCAATATGTTGAAAATCAGAGAGAGTACGAGCGGTAAGCTCTAATGTTACTGTCCAGTTTGAAGCAACGATACCCCACAAGTGCATTGCGTTCATATTCATTGAAGTGAGGTTTTATCGTGTTTTAACAGTATTATCATCCACATAAATCGAATTCCTCGTGCGTAGACTATACAAAAAGACACCGCACCATACATTGAACTGTTTCGCCTGTATTGGTTACCGCATTTCTAAGAAGTTTGGCAATTCCTTCCAAACGGGTAATTGAATACATGTTGTCGATGAATGTCCACCCCTTGCATATTTTGCAGAAAAACGATACTCTCATTGGCTTGAGTGGGCTTCCCTGCAGGGCTACTTCCACTTAATTCGCTATAAAAAATGTTTTTTTTTCGAATTTATGGAATCATCGGATGCTATAATGATATTTCGTACTTGTCAGATACTAGAAGAAGTTAGAAATTATGTGTTTGACACATAAAACCTGTCAATTTTGCTTTCAGTGCGTCACAATCAGCGAAATTATGACTCGTGAGCGTTCACTCAGAGTGAGCGCTCATGCATCGTAAAATAGCTTATTGTGACGCACTGAAAAAAATAATGACAGGTTTTATGTATCAAACACCTTGCTTACAAACTTTTCTTGTAACTTACTAGTACTAATTACCATTCTCGGTTCTAATGATTTCATAATTCTGAAAAATATTTTTATAGCAAGTGAGTGGAAGCAATCCTGCTTCCCTGTCGCCAAATGCTAGCCGAATCTCCCTTAATCAATTACCTTTAGAATCATAACAACCCGGTTGAGACGTTTCAGAATTTCCAGCGTTCTAGACTCTTCCATGTGTTCCGTGTTGAATAAATAACGAATGGAGTCCAGTTCGAAAATTATTTGTTTAAACCACAGCTCATAGGCTACAAAAGTTAAAGCATAATTATTTTAAGATTAATAAATCTACTAAGTACAAACTCACCTTGATGAGTAATAATGAACAGATGTTCATCATGAACAGGTTTGTTGCTCTCAACGGAGAGCATTCTTTGCGCGCTTAGTAGTTTATCGAGCATTAGATATTCGCCGTACATCATACCGGCTTCCGATCCCAGTCGTTGACCGCTTTGGGCATCCCTGGAAAAAAAAAAAATAAAAAATCATCTCATTATAAGGCGGGGATTTTCAAGCTTATTCATTTACGGAGCACTTCATACAATATAAGCATTGGAAGATAAAACTGATGTGAGGTATTGAATGTTGGCACTAGTTAGAACACGGTGTTTTTGGTAGGATAACAAAAAAATATTAGGATCGCTGAAATACCCACCAAATGAAATCTTAGGTAAACCTCTTTTGTTTGAGGCTAGTTACGAAATGTTCTATCGGGGTCATGTTTCCCTACATTTTTATGGGCTTCAATAGTCGAGAGATAATGTTTGGACGTGATTTACACTGGAAAATACGAAAAAAAAAATAACAATTGTTCCAGATCCCCCTATAGAACATTTTCATACTTGTCTCATATGACCATATCCAAGTAACAAACCTAGAGCTGCTTGGCTATATTCAAAATTTATAAAGGTTTTATTGCAGCTGCAACCATTACCTACATCTTTATGACGGTCATATATAATGCAACTCATGGAACATTCTTATAACTATCTACAAAACTCCTATAAAGCTTATAAAAAAAATCAACTGATGCTTATGCTATTTTCACTTATGAAAGATTTTATGATTACCAAAACAATATGAATTGCCCTTATAAAACCCCAAAAATAAATCCTTATATTGCTATATAAGTAAGCGCAATAAAACTAGTTGGCCATGAAACATTTATTTTAAATCAATTATAAGCATTCAGTTGCAACTTGTCAGAAGTGTAATTGGGCGGTTTATTTTACAACATAGAAAAGAATCAAAACTTTCCGGTACTTCCAAGCGGAGTGCAAAGAAAATCAACAAAAATTTTAGCATGAGTCCGTTTATTTGCTACAGTCAGCCGCAAACCTTCGTGAATAAAAAAAATGCCACTGCATTTTCTTCGGATGTCACAAAGGAAACTGTAAAGAGTGTGCCTCTTCACCGTTATGAACCATCTTCACTTCGAATGAACACATTGCTACACCAAAAATGACTCATGAAGAGGAAATCTATAATTATCTGGAGCCGGAGGATGATACCTACGCCTACGCCTTATCAGATTTACAGCCACAACAATTCAACAATCAGCATTGAAGACTTTCTTTCCTTTTTTTAATACTCGCTTATCGGGCATTCTGTCACGCGATCCTAGACCATTGATTAAAACTACCCTAGCAGTGGACCTTATAGAACTTTTGAATGGACAATACTGGCACCAAAGTGGCAAAACATTCCTAACATTGTAATTTCTTTTCGTAAATCCTCTGTCGCCATATTGCCATTATGAAAATGCCATTAGCCTTGGAATAAAATCCAAGAAATTTCAATAAAATAATGGCTAAATTAGAGATCCGAAATGATTTCCAATGTGCATTGGTATGAATTTTTTTATTGAGATCTATTTTTTGTAAAATTAAGATGATTCTATCAAATTCATTTGATTTCTGAAACAATCTTTTTGATAACTTGAATTATTTTGGAGGCGCATTTATTTAACGCTCATATAACCCAATATACACGATAAATTTTCAAGTGCATATGTTTTGCAACTTCTAAAAAGTCAAATATTTTCTTTAAGATTTTCACTAATGTCGCCATGAAACAAAATTGATTGCATGCTGATCTTGACACCAACACTCAAACCTATTTTTACAGCTAAAGATTTCCATATGGAAAAAAAACTTTCAGCAGAACAGAACAACAACAAGCTAATTTATGGCGGTTGCTTTGAAGCAATAAAAATTAAATTGGATTTATAACTGATTTTCACCAAAGCGTAATCAAACTTCTTGAATACAATATTACTCTTAAAAAGGCTATGAGATTTTTTGTAGAGTATGGGGCTTTCTTACAAAAGGTTTTAATACAGCTTTATTGTGATTCTCAAGCATGTTTTATAAACCTTATCAAAAGTGGTCCACTAAGCTGGAAGACGATCTTATAGCGGTTATCAAAAGGTTGTGCTGGAGCTATTAATTCTATTGACGATTTTATAAAATTGATCTCAAAAACCACTAATAGAGTGCAATAAAACAAGAAATGCTACTTGGGTATGCTTTCGTTTGGTGGGTGTTTCTGCGATACTCATTTTTTAAATAAATAAATACAAAAAAAATAAAAGCCATTAGTCTGTTTCGTATCTCTGGAACTCCATATGACAACCGCAGACATGGTAAAATAATTTAAGTTTAATTATCATTAACATTTTATTCTCTCAGTGAGTTCACATTACAACGAGAAATTGCAAGTTGAATATGTGTTTATTTTCGGATTACTTTTAAAAATGTTTATCATTTGAGCAGAACAATTTTCTCCTGCGAACGACGATCCTTGTCTACATGGAAAGCGAATGCGATTTTTCGAACTCGCTGAATAAGTTCATTCAAAATTTGTAAGTTTTCGAACCCGCTTGCATGAGTAACACCATCATAGATCTGACGTCGCGCTACGACTGAAGGCCCAAACGCAATGTGGGCGGAAGCGGAACGGAAACGGTGTCACAAATGACATCAAGCGCAACCGCACTCGAATGTAGTTTTTGCAGGAACCAAACAATCTCTCATTGACCAGTGACTCGAACACTTTAGATTCGACCCCGAGCAAGGTAGTTTTCCACATTGCATTTGTCTCCTTTCTTGAAAACAGGGAACATAGTAGAGCATTTCCAAAGCGTGGGAAACTTACGCTGATGGAGCGATAGATTAAAAATCAGGGTCATCGGGGCGGCTAAGATATCACAGCATTTTTTCAGCATAGCAGATGGCATAACGCTCGGTCCGGGTGAAAAAGAAGATTTAGTTTTCCTTATCGTAGAGAGAACCATTTCAACATCCACAGTAAAAACATCCATGTTTACGCCATCGGTTGGCACATGGCGGACTGCTAGATTGATTTCAGCTTGCGATGGTGAGTCGTTCGAGAAAACGCTCGAGAAGTGCCTTGCAAAAAGCCTGCATTTATCCTCAGTTGTCAATGCTACGTCGTTGCTCAGAAACACCTTCGACGGGAGACCAGTTTCCTTTCTTTTAGTATTTACGAACGACCAGAATCCCCTAGGATTGCTTCGCAGATTGCGTTCAGTGCGAATTACATACCGCTGGTAGAGAAGCTTGTTGTAGCGGCGATAGTTGTTACTGGCAATTGAAAAATTCCGTTTGGTCAAGAAGCAGAAATACAGTCGCGCAGAAAGCAATTATAGCGATCGACAGCTATGTCGATCTCCAGGTCATTCAACACGTTCCAGTCTATCTCTGACAAGGAACGTCGCAGCAAACGTAAATCAGTCTTCCGGAAGTTGAGACGATAGACAATCGAAGTTTCATCAAAGTGAAGTTGAGATCTATTTGCGATAGAAATATCCAAAGCAGGATGGAAGTTGTCAAGAGGAACGATGACATCAGGCGCCTCAGTAACGGTACAGTCAAGAAGTGAATTTTCACTAACGAACACCAAATCTAGGAAATGAGACTGAAAGTTGGGAACTAGATTTATATATCTGCCTCAATCCATGAAAACCAGTACCGTCCACAAGCAAGCGGCTGGCCGGAGTAGTAACAGATGCTATTGGATCTGGATATGTAAATCCCTGACCTGAGTGCGACCAGATAAGCCCAGGTTGATTGAAATCACCGAACATAAGAATCATATCCGAATAATTAGCCATAGAAGAAGCAAATTCTACAGCATCCATATGAAGTTGCATTATGCTACAGTCGAGACGTCGTTCAGGGGGAATGTACACCATTCAGATGGTCAATATTAATGAACCTTTCCATAACGCCTCTAACCATTTGAGACATTGCGTTGCACAAAAAAGGCACCATAGGGTTGTCCATCTGAAATTCGCATTGAAATGGCTCAACTTTGACAGCAACTGATTTAAAGAAAGCTTGCTTAATACCACGTTCAGACTACAGAGTTATAACATGTTATAACGGTTGTCAAATAATTGCAACACAGAAACCACCATCAAGATAGTGCTATAACATGTTATAAATCTGTAGTCTGAACGTACTATTAGCCATCAGCAGCGAGACATTCAAACAGTTTTTAACATCTTGGTAGGAAGCTGACGTTGGTTCAATTTTGTCTTTCTGGACGCCTTGAATAAATTTTCGTATTTGCGGAGTAATTTTGATTGCCCTCTGAACAGCAGCACTATTTTCCAACCATCGGTGACCGCAAAACTTTAGCGGGAATATGGTATATCCAGAATACATCATGATAAACGCTGGTACATCTTTGAAGATATTGTGGATACCACGCAAATATTTGACAACAATGAATGTATTATGCAAAATATACAGCCCACAGCTTCCCAGATCTATCAGCTTCTCGCCACCTTTTTGTACCTCTAGCTTTAATTCACATTGAGCCCATCCATGGACACTTGCAGCAACTTGTTCGAAGAGATACCGGCAAGGGCGTCCATAAACGCAGCGAGTAGATCTGATGCCCGGGATCTTCCCAAAAACTTTGACGTCATGCACTGATAAAATTTCAAAGATTGTTTTATGTGTCCCACACATGATTTTTTGCAATGTGATCAACATTATTTTTTTTTCCTGACCTACATTAAAATTCCCTGACATTCCCTGACTTTCCAGATCATAAATAGAATTCCCTGACATTCCCTGACTTTCCAGGTTTTTCCAGGTAGTCGACACCCTGAATATAAAGCTTATATACGGCTTTACATTTTTATATTAGCCTTATACCACCATTATAATGCATTATTATTGATGGTTACTTGGGTAGTACATAATGCTCCGATACCCATTTGCTAATGTATGCAGAATTTAAATTTACCTTACATGATTTCATACTGCTGCTATAGGTGAAATGGTACCCCATACCTTCGACAAAGACATAGATGATAAATTCATTTGTTTAAAACGATGTTCACATACTATGGGACATTAATATTTTAAGATACAACAACCGGTTGCGTTTACAATATACACTGAAGTCGCTTTTTACGCGGGTGATACGTGCCGCGTAAAAAAAACCGCGTAAAAAACGACTACAGTGTATAACGATAAACCGCGTAAATTCCGAAATCCGCGTAAAAAACGCGTTAAAAACCGCGTAAATTCCAAAATCCGCGTAAAAAAAACGTGTAATTCCTAAATCTGCGTAAAAAACCGCGTAAATTCCGAAATTCACGTAAAAAACCGTGTGAAAAAACCGCCTAAAAAGCGACTCTAGTGTATCTACAATAGATCATAAAAAGTGCTAAATATTACATTACTAAAAAATACATTAAATCATAAAATGAGTCTCCAATCGCAAAGATGATGAAAAATATGATAGGAGAATTTATTATAATATTTTTATTTATCATAAACTATATTGTACAAAATAATATTTTTAATTGTATTTTCTTTTTAATGAATCATTGGTAATATATTTTAAACAAGTGGATTTATTGCATTATAACAATAAGTTGTGTGGTTTGCTACGATATTATTTATTATGAAAAGTCTACAGTATTAAAATTATGCAGCGCTACTTTCATCACAAACGGTACCTTATGTTTATATTGAGCCACATGCGACACTGAAGTGATTAAAAGATGCAAAACATTCACCACAAGTATTGCAACTACGCAGAACTACGTAGAAAAATATTGTTGTTCTCACATGGTTTACCTACGTCTTATCTCCTACCTAACAGAATTTCCAAAACATAGCGTGATGGATTGGGATGAATGTGTTCAACCTCCAGAAAAAAATATTCGTTTACAATTAGTGTCACAGTTGTGAGGAAAATTTAACTTCAAATATGCATATATAGGTATAATGTCCCTAATATCGGCCTAAGTGTCCCTAATATTGGGTTCATACTTAAATTTCAAATGAAAGCATTTTTTGCCAACTTTTCACAAGCATCCATAAATATCCATTTGTTGTGTCCAAGGCCAACATTAGAGCCATTTCCCGTATATACATAAACTTTAAGATGGGCATCTGTTCTTAGCATATGCTTTTATTTTAAGCACCAATTCAGCTCTGACATAGCTTTTGACTGATTTTTCTCCAATAAACATTTATCATTAGATGCATATTGTCGTTGGCTCAGCGTTCCAGCGTTCCAAACGTCGGTAGATTAAATTGCTTACTTGAATTTTAGTTTGAGCTACATTGATCTCCCACACAGAGATGAGGACAGGTCCAAAGACAGATAACATTTACTGTTTAGAAAGCATGACCACAGAGTTTGAGCCCACCTATCAAACGATAGGAACAGATTTGTTAGGAATTAATTTAAGGAAATTGGTATGATAAAGTATTTACTTAAATCCTTGTCGCTCGTTGATAGCTATAAATACTTTTTACTGACTAATTTTGATTACGACTCGTAGAATACAAAAACTGCTAACGTCATTGTCAAATGGATTGCGGCGTTCACTCTTAAAACTCATACTCTAATCAGACAAATATGTTTCTCAACGAAATAGCTCACAAAAATACCGCTGATGGCTGCTTTGATCGTCGTTAAATAATTACAAAAAACACTAATTCGGCAGAATCAGTTCTCGTCAGTCACTATATCAACTTTTTGTAGCCTACACGTGAAATGTTTGATTTCCCTTCTTTGAAACAATTCACCGCATTAATCAGTTCCGTGAAAAATAGGCATTCCATTAGAAAAGCATCAAGTTTGGGGTCATCCTTATCATTGAAACCTATTTGTATAAATTACATATATTTTACAACCAACGACAGCACAGTTGACATTGACATTACTAGATTAGTTAATACAAAATTAAGACTTAATGGTTTCTTCCATCGTTACATAGCCGCGATCAGGTAATGGACTATAACTAAAAAAATCGAGCTTGTATTTCATTCCATTTTAATAATTTACTTCACATCAAAAATAAAATAAATATATTCAAATTTTCTTAAGATACTTCTAACCATAACTTATCAAAACTTATTTACCCATTATGGTTTCCAATGGGACAACTCATGGCTGCTGTACCACACAATCCGATCCAAGAATAATGTTCACCAAAGAGCCAGCTAAACCGAACCGATCAAATTAAAGAGTGAACCGATCACGACTACGACTGAGAGTCAACTGAACCGAAATCCTTTGGTTTTGGGGCGAAATGCTGAAACTTGATAAGGGTGGAAACCGACAAACAAGGCTGATGAATTACGGGAGCTCATGCTCATCGCTTGCCGCTACGCTACTGACAGGTAAGGTATGTTGCTAACGGACAGAAGTCCATAAAGAAACCGGCTAGAAAACCTACCATGAATAAATCCTCTTGCTGTACGGACAATGAGACCAACGCAAAATTGAGTTGAATTCAACTCAATTTTACCAAAAGTTGATTTGCTCACAAAGAAAGTAATTTTTTTCTCAGAAAACTGACCTAATATGAAGACAATCGACAAACAATTTTCTCAGTCTACGAGTATACTAAAAGACTTAGTGGAACCTCCCTCAAATTTCCTAAAAGTCGAGAAGTTTTTTCAGGAAATACTCACTAATCCACTATTGCAAAATTGAATTGAATTCGGTCAGTGTCTCATCGTCCGTGTTCAAGTATACATCTGGTTTGAGTATTCGGTGTCGTTGAATGGACACACACTTACAAAGTTCACGCTTATCACTTTATCAATGAACTTTTCTATGCACGTATGCGCCTTGCAGTAACACGTTACTATTTGATCTGTGCATCATGCCATGACTGAGTGGATTATAACCGATTTTAGTCTAACAAGAGAATATGACTTTTACAGTTATATACTACCAATAAAAGCATAGTCGTTTCATATGAATAGGAAATCTTGGAAATGGATGTGATAAGTTTGAATTGCATGAGTATTGAATGGTTTCTTTGGTGTGCACAAACTCAACGGATCGATTTGGCGCCACCGTTGCTTGTGTTATAACTTGTGTACCACATCAGTTTCTCTGCTTCATGTGGCGTTATTGTTGCATTAAAATGTTGTGAGCAAATAAATATTTGTTTTCTTGGTACGTTCTTACATTACGTAAAGCGGAGTGAAAAAAAAACTGAGGGATTATTTTCAGTTTTCTTTAGATAATAATTAGGGAACTGCCGAATCAATTATTTCCATGGAGTCCTTTTCCGTTCTATATGTTTCACATCAATCTCTGCGCTCACATTCTAAATTACGATTGATGTGAACGAATCAGGCTATGACAAAGCGATCAAAAGTATAAGTATACAGCAGTTCCATAAAAAATTACTACAAAAAAAAATTCTCTTTTTTAATTTTTTTTTTCAGCAAATGAATGGTTTTTAAAAGAGATATCTAGGAAAAATATAAAATTGAAAGCCAAATGAGTTGAACTATACTAAAACATATTTCTTCCTTTTTTGGAGCTCGACCCTAGTTTTCTATAATTTTTTGGAAAGTATGAGCTATTCTGTACTTAACAAACATTCAGGAAGCCGTTTTCCTCGTTTTTGAGATTTTTTTTAAAATATTAAGTCTTATTTTTCCGCAAAACTACAAACCATTGCCCAGTAACGCTGGTAGATCACCTTTTCGTGGTGCGTTACTGGTATAAGATCTACCACCGAAGCGTGGTCCTAGCTGCTTCAAACTAGGTTAACAGGATTTTTTGCAATCAATGGGACACATCTTAGTCCTGAGCGGCGCTGGTGGTGTAGTGGTAAGCTTGATTACTTCTCACCCCAGCAGGCCTGGGTTCAATCCCAGTCGGCGCCACCGGGATGTTCTGAGGCATAACATCTCTGATCACGCCTTCCTTCGGAAGGGAAGTAAAGCCGTTGGTCCCCGGTTCATGAGTTGATGGGTCGATAGGTAGGGTCCAGGTGTGGGAGCTGCCTATCTGGCGTCGGTAGCATTGGTGCTCAGCACGGAAAACAAGATCGACGGAAAATAAATCAAGGAAAAAAAAATCTTAGTCCTTGGGATTCCAAATTTTTTATTCGTTATTCTCTGGTTTGAGGTTATTAAAACTAGGGTATCATTGCTGGATTTTGTTGTTAAACTGCCATTCTAGAATCCAATATGGCGACTTCCATTTTTAAACAATCAGTAAACAATATGTTAAATACACATCAATATGGTTTTTTTTTTCACGGGGACAGCGTGGCCGATATTCTATGTTAGATTCTTTTTTATGAATCCAAAATGGCGACTTCCAATTTTTTTTAAACTGACAATATGGATGTTTTTAAAACCCAACAATATGGATGTTTTTGGAACAGAGACGACGTGTAGAAGCCGGAAATTGATGTTTGACTCCATTTTGGAATCCAAAATGGCTGCTTCTGGCGCTGAAAACTGTTAAGTACCCTACAATATGGGTATTTTATTTACGTGCAGAGGTCGGAAGTCGTTGTATGACTCCATTTTTAAATCCAATATGCCAAGCAAAACTGGATTAGAATGAAGCTGAAGGTCGTGATCAGTTAATATTTTTTCAATCATTAAAACTTGTGTATTCCAGAAGAAGTCAAAATGTATATGTTGATAAAAACGGAACCATACTGTACATAATTATAGTGTAAGTTGGCTATCTTTGTTAGGATGAGACAGCTTCGTGTAGTAGTTTGCGATAGTTCACAAGTAGGAGCACAGTCATGTAAAGTGATGGAATCCAGACAAGAGAACTGGGTGTTTGGTACCAAAGGGTTATTCAGAGAGTCTAAACCGGCCACCAACGCGAATAATTCCAGAAGTGTCCACTAACGGGCTCAGCAGCTTCAATGTAGACTGGTTAGTAACCGGTTGACCTTTCTTGAGAGCACGCAGCTCCTTTTGGTAGCACTCAGCTTGAACCATTGTCCCTTTCGAGCATTTTCGATGAACTGTAGGCAATAGGCTATCTTCCATACCATACGACGAAATTCGGGCAATCAAAGGGTTAGGTGGTGTTGGATTTTGAATTGCTAAAGTCTGTTCCATTTAGAATTTGGTCGCATAAAATGGGTCGTTTTCCAAGAGAAAATTACATACAAAAAGTGTATCATTTTATAAGTTTTTTATTTACCTTTATTTTACCTTTATACAAGAAAAAATATTCGTCAGCTTTTCAGATGAATTTTTGATCTTTTCGCTGAATACCTCCCATCATGTCTTACACAGTAGTACTGTCAACCTCGTCTGCCATCTTTTCCACCATTTATACAAAGTAGATGGTGTTTTATTCCAAATTTCTTCAATTTATGCTTTATAATAGCCCAAATTTTTTTGATTAGGCGAAAATCTGGTCAATTTGGTGGATTGATAGTTTTTCCAAAGATGAATACTAAGATGAAACTGTCGGAAGAAAAACTTTCTATTTTAGTGTCTTCTTTCACGGTCCCTTTCATCCAATGAGAACCCCCCGTATTCAAGGTAATTTTGTGGTTTTGCTGCTCCCTCGGAAGAGATGAAATTTTGCGCTCATTTTTATCAAAACAATCACACCAAAATTAGAGATGTCCCATTTTTTAATTACTCGATTAACAACTAATCGATTATTTTTTGTTCGCTGTGCTGCCATTTTTCCACCAATGAGAGTGCAGCACATGTTTGAAACGATCGGTGATGATCCTGTGGAGATGTTAATGCTTATATCGGCATGATGTAACCGATTATAAATAGTTTACTTTTCGGTTCGTTAATCGATTAAACGATTATTCGAATGAAAATCGGACATCACTAGATGAATGTGAAACGTCATTTCAAATATAAGGTCGTTCATAAATAATGATACAATTTGAAAGGGACCGGGGCTAATCATAAATTACGTCTCCATGGTAACTGAAATAAACACGAGTGTTCACCGGTTGGTTTTTCCAATAAAATTTACAGATTGTTGGGGAGGATTCAGATTGAGCGAGAGAAATATAATTCTTGAAGCAGCTCGTTGTTTACCAGCTCAACTATAAGGTAAATACACATTTTAGGATACGATATTAGAATAATTTAGAGTTACTTGCACAATTTTAGTATTATTTTCTCCCATGTACACGTTCTCCTGTCCTGATGGGACTCGTACTTGATAGGCTAGGTTTAGGTTATAAATTGCTTAAATTGAATATTTTAATTCATTTAGGTAATAAGACACTTACTGGTAGGTGTTAAAATACAGTTAGTAAGTTATTTTAGTAAATAAGCTATTTAAAGCAAATTAAATCTACAAAAGGTCACTTCTGTCCACGTTTCAGCCTACACACTAAGAAAAATTGATGTAGCTTTAGGTGCTCTGAGACTGACATATACGAGCGTCAATTTTGACATAAACTTGAGTAATAATAAACGCGAAATGCAGCTCAATCAAACGTACTTTCGAACTTTTCAGTCTCGGAGCACTTAAGTTTACATGACATGTTTGTTTACGTCTCATTCTTTATGTCAAAGATGCATTCCGTCATGTGTAAGATTAGGTATTTCTAAGTGTGTAGAATTGTGTGTTTTATTTGTTCTTTACTTTCCTGGTGACATCATATCATACCTGTCAGTCAGTCAGCGGCTCGGCAGTTACCAGTGAGATAGGCTCATCACTGCCTTGCTGCACAATTTTCTCGATGTTCCTATCGACTGACTCCAAGGTACACAGATAAAAATCCTGAATTTTAATAGTCATGTAAACATTCATTCACGTAAACTTGTATTTCATTTCACGCAACCGAGTAGCTTGTAAACAATGTTGTTTACAACAATGGGCCTTTGTATACAATATTTTCTACATTGCATGTAATGTCTCAGAACTTTACATGATATATAATGTAAACTTATATGATATGTGACGCTCCATTTATGTGCATCATACTGAACAGAAATTTACACTACTTTTTCGAACTGTGTAGAAATATGGCACAGCGGGGGTAGGGTATCGATTCGTAAGAGCTCAATCACGCTCTCCACAAGCGTAGGTGATGATTCCCCCAAATTGAACCGGCCACCCTGAGGGTGTGCCCTCGGAAATAGTTCAATTGTTCTTCAGGATTGTTACCGCAGGTAGGTATGTGGTGATGTTGCGTAGAACCAAAAAATCCAAAGAAACTAAAATTTCGTCGACGAGCCAATCGCAATTGTTAACAGAGTCTTTCGCCCATCAAATCCGAATCTAATA